TGATAATAAATAAACAACAACAATTAACAACAACAACAACAACAATAATAACAACAAAACAACAACAATAATAACAATAATATAAAAACTAGTGCGGTAATCAACACTAATAGTCGTGCGTTAATCACAGTAAACAGAAATTCCAGAATTCTATCTCTTCACAACTTGCAGTTTTGTTTTTCACACCAAATCATGTACATTCTCTAGTACATTAGGCAACTTAACATAGTTGAAGTGATCTGCTTAGAAAGCCACAGGAAAGAGCCACAGAAATTCAGGTGTAAATTATGATTTTGTATTCTTCAAAAAAGAACGTTATGAATAGCTATTTTGTCCATTCATGCCCAAGTATTAGCATTCAGTGACACAGTTGCCACCTGACATACACATTTTGAATGTGTTCTGAATGGTTTAAATACTGTATAACGTTATCTGTCTACCTTGTTTCCCTGAAAATAAGACCTACGAATGGTTTAAATATAACGTTATCTATCTACCTTGTTTCCCTGAAAATAAGACCTAACCTGAAAATAAGCCCTAGTATGATTTTTCAGGATGCTCATAATATAAGCCCTACCCCCAAAATAAGACCTAGTTAAATGAAACCCTGCCCTCCCCCATTGTGCAGCAACCAGAAGAAGATATGAATGTATTTGAATAAATGTAACTGTTGTACATGAAAAATAACACATCTCCTGAAAATAAGCCCTAATGTGTTTTTTTGAGCAAAAATTAATATAAGACCCTGTCTTATTTTTGGGGAAACACGGTATCTATCTATCTATCTATCTATCTATCTATCTATCTATCTATCTATCTATCTATCTATCTATCTATCTATCTATCTATCTATCTATCTATCTATCTATCTATCTATCTATCTATCTATCTATGTCTGTCTGTCTGTCTGTCTGTGTCTGTCTCCATAGTCATACATTGATAATACACACAGTGCAAAGATAGAAAATAATGAGTCCTTACCTTATTCATGTCAAATGTTTCAAAAACTTTATCAACATATTTATTGGCTTCTGGGGTGAGTCCTTGTAGCCCCAACACTGATTTAAATTCATGTAAACAAAGCTGTCCAGATGGGCATTCCCTCATAAATTTTGTATACCAGTGGTGGATCTCCATTGCATTGATGTCATCTACTGATCCATTGGCACCCATGATAATCAACATTCCAAATATCCTAGCTTTTTTCTTTAGTGCAATTTCATTGAAATGAGTCTTCTGTGGAGTTGTCAGAGCTTTGCATTGCAACTGTCATTCACATGCTAGCTTGCCGTATAAAGAAAGGGCTACCATAAACCTCTTTAAAGATCACTGCAAAGATAGGCTATGTATATATAGCTGCCTAGCAAGATTACCTTCCGGGTGGAGTTTAAAGGCAGAAAGGTTTTATCAGTGGGTGGCAGTCTCTCCTCAACCAGGATACTTACTGCAGTGAATTTATGACAATCACAGGGACATTTTTGAGGAGGGTACTTAGCGATTGTACTACTTTAAATAGCTGTAAATGTATGTGAAGTTGGGTTCTTTTGGAGTTGAGGCTCTAAAAGGAGACAGAAAGAGCTTTTTTAGTAGGCGCTAGATATCTATGGGATTCTCCAGAAAATTTCAACTGGCATCTTCCTTGCTCTTCTTTTGTTTAGTGCAAGTAGCTTCTTGTTCTCCCTGGCTTTAAAACTCCTGTTTCACTCTACTGCTGTTTTAAATGGCTAGCGCATGGATTTTAGCAATAGTGGGAGATGTGTTTATATTGATTTTCTTATACATGCCTGAATCCAATTGTTAATACATTGAATCAATGGGAGTTATGTAAGTTTCAAATCACAAATCTGCAGTTGAGTAAGTAACTGAAATCCAGTAGGAAGTCACAACTAGAATCGTTGGGATTTATGGAAGACCCAACTTATACATCTCTTCTGACTGGACCTACTCTAACTGTAACGTATGACTGGATTGCAACCAATGAGTCTACTACAGCTGTTGCTGGATTTATTTATTTTTTGAAATTGTCCACTATCCTGTTAAGTGTGGGGGTAAAGGAGTAAGTATAAATGTATAAAATAATTTAAATTGCAGAAACATGTGGCTGAACAATGTTTGTGTTTATCTGCAGGGAACAACTAGTTCATAACAACCATCTCTTGTGCAAGGTTACTTTAGCATTTAAAAATGAACATGCTTATTACCACACAAGTTTCATGGACGGGTGGATTCTAGCCTATGAATGTTTAAGTCAGGAGTGGCCTTTCTATTAAGAACTGATAACTCATGAAAAGTCACCTGGAACTACTGGTTCATAGGCTAATCTACTTTACTAAAACATTATGGTCATCCAGCTCTGGCAGGAATTGAATGCCCCTTCCAGGAATTTGTTTCTAAAACTTTTACTTATTTGGATGAATAGAATTACTCTTTTTGAACTTGTTCCTAATGTGTGATGTCTTTATCTTTGGGCTATCAGTTTGATGTCAAGTCAGTCAATGCAAATGTAGGTATCATACTGAAGGATCAAAAGTTGACTAGCTTCCTATAGCTTTCTTCATATTTCAGCAACTTTTCATGTGACAACAGTCCACAATATTCCATTTGCAGATTCCTGGGCAGTATTACAAACATCCTGTGCTTCCAGATAGGGTGTTTTTGTTGCAATAAAAATACAGTCCCGAGTTCTCCCTTTCCCATCAGGGTTTTCACAAGTGGTGCAAAATAGCTCTGCATAATACTAGGCTCCTTTACCTTTGAGAAACAAAGTACACACATGAAAAGCATGGAAGGACTGGGTGATCCTCAAAAGGGTGCAAACAACTCATCCAATGCTTCTCATTCTTCCAAATGTGCAAATTCCTATTGAAACTGATTTTTAAAAATGGCCTTTAGCGGGCATGGAGAAAAAAATACACACACATAGTTTCATGTTCTTGAACACAGGAAGAAAATAACTAGAAAAATCACACCCTTATCCTGCATATATTCAAATGAACAAATGAAATTAAAAAACAGTCTTTTCTCCCTGCTCTCTTTATAAGATATTTACACAGCTTGAAGCAGGACATGCTTAGAATTTCAGCAGCTTGTACCACTGTGAGCCTCTGCTATAAACAGGACCATTGTAATATGTTTTCCCACTCAGGCTAGCCATGCGTGACAGAAAATATATATACCTCTTCCTTGCATTTAAGAAGGGCTTAGCCTTTAGAAGCAAGGCTGAGGTGAAATTAACTCCTCAAATTACGCTTCAAGCATTCCTGCCTACATTTTCATTTTAGGAATCCGAGGTACAAAAAGAAGGAAAAGTACCTTTATGAAACTCTGTCCTCAAAATCACTTTTAGCTAGACAATGATTTCATTAAACAGCGATTTCAGTGGAACAGATTATCATTGTCTAGCGAGGCACCACTGTAGCACTGTTGAAATACTAGTATAAGAACACAATGATCTGCTACAGCACCCAATATGCATCATTCTAAGCAAGTTCTTAGGTAAGAACTTGACCATCTACATATGCATCAGTGAACAGAGAAAAGCACAAATCTCCATAAATTCAATGTCTCCATTTATGTCAATTAACTTCAATCAAAAACACTTGGCTAGTGAGGCAAACTCTAAATTATCCTCCTTTATTATACAAGGTAATTTGTAGCAACAATAACTTCAATTGAAAACCTTTCCTTTTCTTGGAAAAAGTCCAGCCTTTCTAATAGCGTAAGATAACACATTATGGTTTGTGAGGTTAACACTGCCAAATAAACAGAAAATTAAATATGCAAGTAATTCCACAACAGAAGAGAGAAGAACACAGAGACCATTTGTTGGACCACATTTGTGTATTTCAATAGGACCAGAATGGAACATTCCAGTATAATGAAGAGATGTTGCAAAGGAACAATGGGGGATGGGATTGGTTCTGGTACCACTTGGACACAGCCAGTAAAAGGTATCTGGGACTTTAGGGTTAATCTGTATCCTTTCCTTTGTAAACTCTCTTGCAAACTGTGATACTGCTGCAGGATAATTCTTGGTGAGTTGTTTACTATTTGTTGTATATTTAGACATTATGAAGTGCTTAAGGGTTTTGCAATCTCTTCATCTAGCGAGGAAGGCCACTTATTCCAGAGGTGCTGGCACATTCAGGCATACTTGCCTTGTCCAGGTTCAGACTCTCCTCCAAGAAGCTATCAACATCTTCCAGGTTGCTTATAAGAAAATGCTGAAATGGAAGGCAACATGAACTAAGACTCCGGACATCATTAGGTCAGTCATCAGTCACTTTTCAATGTCAGACTGCGTTGTCAAACTGCAACTATATGTAATAGAACCCCAATAATTTAGTTAAAACACTAAATGCAAAACAAAACATGCCAGAAACTAATGGGAGGAGGGAACATTCTCAGGATGGGGGGAGGAGGAGAATGACATTTTGTTTGGGCATCAGTGAAGCCACTATTAGTACTTTGCTGATTTTATGGGGGAGGGGGGAGTAGGGTTTTGTTTTTGTTTTTTTAATTCATTGATTGATTGATTGATTGATTGATTGATTTGATTTGATTTGATTTGATTTGATTTGTATCCTGCCCATCTGGTCAAATAGACCACTCTTTTAATATGTTTTATATGGTTTTAATATTTTTAGCTGTATGCTTTATATTTTGGAAGCTGCCCAGAATAGTGGCATGCTCACTAAATGGGTGGAGTGGGAAGAAAGAAAGAAAGAAAGAAAGAAAGAAAGAAAGAAAGAAAGAAAGAAAGAAAGAAAGAAAGAAAGGTAGGTAGGTTTCTTAATACTAAATAAACTCCCAGCAACCATCAAACTCCCAGCACTTACAGGATGAATTTTCAAGAGCAGTTGAGCTACTTTCCCACGAAGATGCTCAAGCTTTTCTTGTGTAGCCTTTATTTGTAAGTCACACAGACTTAGCTTTGTTTCAATGGCACTTACGGCCTGAAGACCGTGTTGTTGTATAGACTGAAGTTTTTTGGTAATACGTTCTTCGTACTGCAAAAATAACTGAAACAGACAACAGTGTTCTTGAAATTTTCTGAAGAACTCCCCTATAAAATTCATTTTGTCCCCTCACCAATAAACAAAAATGGTGTCATTTCTTCCTTTAAGTGTTATTTTAGTCATTCTATAGAATTACTCTTCCTATTTCCATATCACTAGGACTTGTGTCTGTCATGAACCTAGAACAGTAATGGCCTGTTTCACAGGAAGATACTGGATGATCCCTACTGTATGCTGGGCAGATCCAGAATTCAGGAAAAGAAAGACCCGCTTGTATTATATTGGTATCACTGGTGAATATTGTATATCTGAATGCACTGATCCTATTAATTTTAATTGGATCATCTTTTTTTCCTGGACTGTGTCCAGTGTTATTCACAAGAATTACTGAGTTTAGTTCTTCTACAAACAGATTACGAAACAGGTATTGTCAAATACAGAGTCAGCTGAGATTGAACCACAGTCTTCAACCAGTTCACCCTTCCATCCTTCAGCACTGCCCCTGGAAAAGCAAGACTTCAGAAGACTGTCAAAGGAAGTGGTGGAAGTGTTTCATTTCTTAGTGTCTCTACTGCCTCCTACAATAGGAAGTTCTCCTTAAACAGTAAAGGAAGAAGTTACTTTCTTGGGCTACAACTTTCAGCCATCGTGGGCACTGCCTATGTCCCAAAACTACATAAACATGGAGACTAGTCACAGCTGCAGTACCTGCTGGTATCTAAAGGGCACTTTGTGCAAGAGGTACTTTGTGTGCATTCTGTAAAGAAAGGACATGACTGGAAGATAATGGCCAGAATCCTGTTGGTATCACACAGTGGTTTTCAGAGACTAGGGAAGTTGCTGTCTGTCTCTTCTGCACTTGGGTATGCCCTGGGTGCACAAGTGATTCCACAATCAGCTATATGCTCAGCCACATGACACATGGCCAGCAAAATGCAAAAACTACTTATTTTTGCATTTTGTCCTCACACAAGTAGTGTTCTGTACCAGGATTTTTGGCCAGTGTTCGATAAGAACGTTACAAAGAGCAGGGGGTGACACTTGAATTCCAATAAGAGTTTTCACCACTGTATTTGAATATGTAACAGAAGCTTTTCATATTATTCACTGAACACCAGACGGTCAGCTTCCCACTGATTGCATTTTGGTTTCCAAATCTCAAATTTTTATTTCACTTTTTATCATGCTTATTTGCCAGTTTAATGGGAAATCATTACAGATTATACATTAATTAACCATACTAAATATATTTTACCTGATTAACATATAAGGTGTTTGTCTTATTCTCTTCCAAATCTCCTTTCACCTATTTCCCACAAAAAACAAACAAACAAACAAATAAAAGCAGAGTCTTAGCAAATGGCATGAGATTCTATGGATATCCAAATCCAGACCCTGTCAGGGAAGCACAGTGGGGAATCAATCTCTGAACCTCTGGCTCCATAGCCAGATACCTAAACCACTATGGTTCATTCATCTCAAGTATTACAAAGTTTGATTGTTCCATTTCTTGTTTCACAATTTTGAACTTACTTTATTTCATATTTCTCACATTCCATATTCCAATTATATATGTCACACACCACTGGACTTTCCTTTTGCCTCTAATGCACATAAAACTAGACATCCTTTTGGCTTTAAACTAGTTGCTTCATTAGTGAGAGCACTTTGCTCTTCCTTCCTAACTGGTGGAGTCCTTCTCACGTGAGATTCTCATCTTCCAGGAATATCTTGCCTTCTGCTTGGATAATTATGGGATTTAGCCCATAAAAACAATACAACAATTCTGGCCTTCTTCACAATATCAAAAGAAAAGGAACAGAATGAAAAATCCAGGTAATAGCCAATATATTTATTATTTACTATTATTTGTCCAAATTCTAAATGATGAAAAAAAAAATTAAAATACTGTGAACCACTCTGAAACTAACTATCATAATTTTGTGCACTTATTTTTGTCCCCATATTTGAAAACAGTTTGCTGAAGTGCTGTTGCTTACTTAAAACTGACTGGTTATATATATATATATATATTGGAACATAATTTACTCTAGAGCCTCACTTGCCTTGAACAGAAGTAAAATATCTTCAGGACCCATTGATGCAAGTTGTTCTCTTGAAATACCACTTTCAGGTAAAATATACAGCAGCGTCTCTCTGGGAAAAGAAAACAAAAACAATGAACCACAACATTTTCATCAGAGTGACACTTCCTCCAACTGTTTCAGAGCTCCACTGAATCTTTTGGAGCAGCGTTTCGTGGGGTTACATAAGGAAGGGAGAACTAATGGACGTGACCTCCCCACTTCCAGCTGCGGGTGTATCCATGAATAGAATCCCACTCATTTGAACTCAAGTTCCAAGTATAGTAATTATACCATAGCTTTGCTGGACTAGAGTCCACCACATACACCTGACACAATAACCTCATTCAAAAAAGCTTCTGCTGGAAGAAAATTTTACTGTCATTTAAGTGCCACAAGGCTATTTGTAAAGCTTAGTGTGACAGACATCCAAATATGTGCTTACAAGACTGAACTTAAGTACAGAAATCTTAAGTATGTTTCAGGGATGGGGAAGCACTGCTGCTTCCTCCATGTGGATACATGAGCCTAGAAATGAGGGATCCTGGTTGCATTCTGTACCTCTATGTGGGCAGTAATTTCTCCTCTTCTGGTACTTTGCATACAAAGTGATGACAGAGAGGTCAGAAGTAGTCATTCCTTCAAAAGCATACTGATAAGCTCAAGGCGCAGAAGACTGGGGTCAGAACTAAATATTACACTAATTCAGAACCTAGACAGTGTTGCTCTCTCAAGTTCTGGAACATCTGATTGTAATAGTATAGCAATTCTCCTAGCTATGTATTTTGCATTTCCCTGGCTTCATTTTAGCCACATGAGCCTGCAGCATTGCGTCTCAGTGTAGCATCATAAAGAAAAGTGAAAGAGAAAGCATCAGTGTACCTACATAAGCACTCTAACCCTCTGCATGTAAGGTTGTATTTAAAAACAGGAAAACTCTTCTATTGGCATTTAGAGAAAACACAGTTGTAGTCTGCAGAGAATGTTGGAGAGAAAAGACAGGCAAATCCAAATTCTGTGCATAGCAATTTGGACTTTTTGGATTACAAATCCTGTAATTTTCCATTTGGGAGATCCATCTGACTGGTACGTAAAGGTAAAGGTTCCCTTTGACATTTAGTCCAGTCGTGTCCAACTCTAGGGCGCGGTGCTCATCCCCATCTCCGAGCCATGGAGCCAGCGTTTGTCCATAGACAGTTTCTGTGGTCACGTGGCCAGTGCGACTAGACATGGAACACCGTTACATTCCCACCGACGTGGCACCTATTTATTTATGCTTTTGAACTGCTAGGTTGGCAGGAGCTGGGACTAACGATGGGAGCTCACTCCGTTGTGTGGATTCGATCTTACGACTGCAGGTCTTCTGACCTTGCAGCACAGAGGCTTCTGCAGTTTAACCCGCAGCACCACCACATCCCTTTTCCACCTGACTGACCGACACCTAAATATGGCTCCCCTGAACAAAAGGGAGGCAGCTTCCTTTCTAAACAGGAAGATATGGGGAAGCTAGGCCTATGCTAGGCCACAAAACCTTCCCAGCTAGGCCTTTTCTCCAGGTGAGCCACATTTTCCATATTTTTCCAAATAGTCCATATTTTTTAAAAAAGTATACTTAATATAACATACAGTTTGCCCTCAAGTCTAAGGGCACATTTAAATAAAAAGAGTTCAATATTATTCACAATGGCACATCAGTGTCTGAAAAAGTGACATTAAGAACCTTTACAAAAGGTGGCATCACTTCTGTGCCTACCATATTTTCTTGTGCTCTACACTGGAGATATGGTCACCCTGGTCTATTTCAATGCTGATTTCCCCAAAGTGTATCTAATTCATTAAATATCTCACAGCTGAAGAAGCCCATCACTCAGCTGCTGTCTTGATTCATCTGCATAAAACTGGGCTTCTAGAAAGTCCTTCCTAGAAAAAAAGGGCACATATTTTGCTGCAGGACTGTATCTTTTTGAATACTTACTTGATGTGAGATGTTAATGCTTCTATTAGCTTGGTTTCAGGAATGTGCTGACATATTTGTGTATGTGAACCTGCAGCCTCAGACTTCTGTGCAGCGACAAGGACCTGCCCTTTACTGTCTTCCTCTGAAGTCTCTACAGAAGCACTGAACGGAAACACCAGGAAGATTATATCAAGTATTATACCAAGAAAATATTAGGCAAGGGATCTTCTGACTTTCAGATGTCTCTGAACATCCATTATCATAAGTCTTAATGAGGCTTACCACTTGTGAAGGATGATGGAAGTAGCCATTTACCATGCCTGAAGGGTCAAAGGGAACCTAAATTTCAAAGTTAAAAATTGGCAACATTTGGAGATATGTTCTTAAAGCCTGCCTTGTTTAATTCTGTCTTTAATAATTTCCTAAATATCTAGAGCAGGAGTCTCCAAACTATGGCCCATGGGCCACATCTGGCCCACCTTGTCTTTTTATCCAGCTCGGTGAACATCGTAGGCTCAGGTCCATTCCCCCAGCCTGTGCGGGCGGGCGGACATGCGTATACACATGCACGGATGTGTTCCTTTGGCCCTCGAAAATGTGGAATGAACATCATAGTCTCAGGTCCATTCCCTTCAGCCCGTGCAGGCAGGCGGACATATGTACACACATGCACGGACATGTTCCTTCAGCCCTCGAAAATGTGGAACATATATGATGTAGCTGACTCACTGAAAAGTTCAGACACCCTGATCTAGACGGATGGGTTCTGGTGCACCTTGGTTGGCAGTCTGTCCCACAGAGTAGGAGAAAGCCTGATTCCTCATTATCCTCTTTCTAGCTTCCCTCCGTGTGGCCATCTTTAACACTGTGGACTGGGAGGAGCATGTGAAATGAATAGCTGTTTTCTGGGAGATAACATTCCGACAAGTATTGAGGTCTTAAACCACTGAGGGCTTTATAGCTCATAACCAGCACCTTGAAAATTGAGAATGGAAACTGACACAGAACCAATATAGGTGGGTCAAGACTGGGGATAGATCATTGAATTTAGTGTCCCAGGAATCAGTCTAGCTGCTGCATTCAGATGACTGAAGACAGAAGTGCTGGAAATGATTGACAACCCAGGATCAATTATGAGATGCAAAGAGCATCTCATAATAAAGGATTGTGACCAAGCAGTTGGAGATGAAAAGTGCTGTGGCTCTTGACTTGCATGTGAGACAGCACACCATGTCTCTGGGTTATCACTTCAGTTCCATTCTGTTTGCTTTGTTTGTGCTTGTCATATATGTACAGGAAAGTTTGTTGGTTGTATGAGCAAATGAATAGGTTTATTGGCAGGTTGCTGATGGCTGAGTGACAGCTGGGAGGGGGAATTAATATGCCTGTTAAAGGCCATTGGAAACACATGTTTGCTTTAATCCAGACCTGACTTAGCTTGTACCCTGACTCTCCTGCTGACTACTATTTACAACCTCTGAACTACACCTCATGGATGTCTCTGACATGCCCAGGCTGGTTTGATCCCAGACTCTCTTTTTAATATTATCTTTGGATTTTGGGTAGGATTCTACTTGCCACTCCATGGACAGCAATTTGCTCCTGATTCTGAGCCTCCCTGGATGCGCTTGTGGCATACTTTTGCCCATCCAGATCTTACCTCTGGAAGCTGGACATTATTAAAAAAGCCCTTCCAGGTTTGTACTTTAATAAACTTGCTGTGTTTATCTTTAAAAATACCAAAAGTTTTTTTTCTTGTAGTGCTTATAAAATAGCTTCATTGTTTGAAGTGTCTTCAGCAACACTTAGAGGAGGGACCATGCAAATCATCCCACTTTATCTTCCACAAAGGCTCTGGTTTTGTTCCAGGTGTTTGAACTTCTAATGGTACTTTTTCAGAAATAATCATGAGGGCCTGGAGCTAGGTTTTTTTTTAAGTTGTGGGACTGTTCTTTTTAATTATTTGTGGGTGTAACAGGAATTTAACTGCCTGAAAGGTACAGTTAGAAGGAAACACCTATAATCAAGAAATCATATTCTAGAGTTGTGCTAAAGAAGTACAGGTTTCCTGAATTCCCAGATTCTGTGGGAAAAACCATAACACTTTGGTTTACTAACTTAGTCTTCTGAGAGGTATAGTCCAAATATGCCCATAGGACCAAGGTTGGAGCTAATTAGTATATATCTTGTTTTTCGAAGGAGGTGTCTTTCCCTTTGGAGAGGGAAAGTGCAGACGATCATATGCCTCTGCATATTTTAATTAACATGATAAATAAAGTTAATTTTGTTCATTAGACATTCTCAGTTTTAAACATTAAGAGGTTCCAATTTTTAATATTTAACAATCCTGAATTAATTTTCAGACTTAATGTTCCAAGCTACAATTCAAAATAACTGAACTCTCCATGCAGTAGAAATGTATGTGTTTCTGTAAGTCAGACATGCTAGTTATGTGGCAATTTACTTGTCCCTCAGTGAAGAGGAAAACAACAATAGATTCCTATTGAGTGTTTAGACCTTTGTGATACAACTGGTGTAAAACTTGTTGGTGAATTGCTCCATTTTAAGAAGTTAGCAGAGCATTTGCTGTTGTGGACTGAACTGTGCAACTCAATGCGCAACAGCAAATGTCTACACTAACTTCTTAACTAACAGCAATTCACAATCAGATTTATACTGGTTGTGTTACTCTGGTGCGTGTAACTAAGAGGATTTCGGGCAATATCTCTTTATTAAAACAGGGGTATTGTTGCTGCACTCACCTTTTGGAGCCTTTTTTGGAGAAGTTTTTCTCAACATTTACACAACTTGATATGCTTAAGAAACTGTCTCCATTTTCATCACATGGTTCCTGTTTGTCTTCACATGGATTGAACATTTTAAAAAGTAACACAACAAGGTATTATTAGCCACAGATTTGAGCAAATGAGCAAGTTTGGATATTAAAGGGGGACCACCATGGAAACTGCTGTGAAGTTACTTAAAAATAGGGGGGGGGGAAGGAAAATATGTGGACAGGGCCAATATTACTGCTGTGTTACTTTAGAATTCAAGTTGGTTTGTGGGTCGATCTTCCAGTAAGTTGGAACTTAAGATAATACAAACATATGTGAAACATATTACATATACATGTCCACATTTTGAGAGAAGTTACAAAATGCCATTACATAATGCCCATTTGCAGGGCATTCAAATAATACTAACCTACTAGACTGCCAATAAGCAGACGGTGTGGATATACCACTACTGCTCCATAGAGATCTCCAGGAGCCTAGCCCTGGCACAAACTAGTAAACATTTCTACTAGGACAATAGAAGACTTTCATACTGCTGGACACCACACAGTATTTGAAGGCTGACTGACCAAAGTTAGTGTTGCAAGTGAAGCAGGAAAAGATGCAGATCAGCAACAAAACTTAACTGATCATGCTATAAGATATATGTTCCAAGGCACTGGTTCCCAACCTTGGGTAACCCAGGTGTTCTTGGACTGCAACTCCCAGAAACCCCAGCCAGCATAGTTGGTGGTGAAGGCTTCTGAGAACTGCAATCTAAGAACATCTGTGTTACCTAAGGTTGAGAACGCCTGCTCTGAGGCAACATTTTCTAACTTGGCACTTTCTGGCTGTGTTGGATTAAAAAATACTATCATTTCTAGCCAGTAACTGAATTGTAGGCTTTGTAGTCCAAGACATCAGAGTCCCATGCCAGAAGAGCCAACTAAACTAAAGAAGGAATTTGAAGAAGTAAACAAAATGACATAAGAGAACCTAACTTGGCACTTTCCCAGTGTGTTGGATTAAAAAAATACTATCTTTTCTAGCCAGTAACTGAACTGTAGGCTTTGTAGTCCAAGACATCAGGGTCCCATGCCAGAAGAGCCAACTAAACTAAAGAAGGAATTTGAAGAAGTAAACAAAATGACATAAGAGAACCATAGTAACATACACTATGACATATATAGTTTCCCTTCCTTTGAAACTAATAACTTAATGGCTGAAATCCTGTTGTGCAGTTACACTGCACAGAAGGGAATCTGCATAACTTGCAGTGGTGAATTGCCACTATATAATGCACCAAGGTGCTTGACTGGTAATGTGGAATTCAAGTGGGGACTCATTAATTAACAAGAATTCAATGCTGCAAATTAGGCAACTCCCCTTCTGCCGATGTAATTATGCAACACACTTCTGGTGAATGTTTAACTTCATATTTACTTTATGCACTTTAAATTTAAACTTTGAATTAAAAACTTTACTCACCACAGTTAATCTAAACTAAGTTAGCTTTTGGGATCCTTTAGCTAAAATCTTAATAAATCAGGTCTTTTGTACTAGCATTAGAAGTTCTGCACCCTCAAGATGTATCAACCATATACATAACTTTCCCCTTTTCCTTCACTATGCAGTAATAGTTTTTCACCAGTGTTAGTGATAGCGCATCCATGTACCACTGGAGGCACTTCTCTTGTGCAATTCTCTCCTATGCGGGAAACTGCCTTTCATCACCTATGTTGATATTTTTACTGTGTGCCTTTGCAGATTTCTACGATATATTGAGGAACATACATGACTAAGAAACAAAAACCGGAATGCTAACACTATACTCTTAATGTTATACTAAGCTCTATGTTTAGTACCTATTCCAAGTCTTTAGTATCTATTACAAGTAGCAATATTAACTTGGATTCATATATATGGAAGAAATGAGTAATGGCAAATGTCACCTTTGTGCATGAACGAAAAGTCTTTGCACCCTTCAGATGTTGGAAAATCTTCAGTCTCACTCTCAGAAAGTATAATCTGCAATGCAACATTCTGATTGTAAGCAACACTTTCTTTAAAATATTTAGAAACTCTTAACTCGTTGAGCTCCATCAGCTACGTAGTTTCAACCTAACCTTTTATCAATCCTTCTCTTTTTGAACCCACATCTTGCCCAATATAACCTGTTATGTTGTTGTTGTCTAATGAGATGGTTCCACCACAAGCTACTCTGACACACAACGTGTCCTTTTTTAAAGGTTGGGGCAAGTCAATAGAACAACAGGTTACTTACCTGTAATTGTAGTTCTTCAAGTGGACCTCTGTGATTCACACCCTGGATAATCCGTGCATGTGCAGAGCCTCGTCAGAATATTCTAGAGCTTCTGCGGTAGCAAAAAAATACATTAGTGTAGACCCTTCCCCCTCAGTATGTGTACCTTGTCAGCAAGACTCTCCCTTCAGTTAGATCAACCGCCACATAAAAAAAGAATAGCATGAAAGTGGGGAGGTCGAGTTCGGCTTCTGTGAATCACAAAGGTCCACTCAAAGAACTACAATTACAGGGGAGTAACCTGTCATTCTTCGTGGCCTCTGTGAATCACACCCTGGGTGACTAACAAGCTGTCTTACCCGGAGAAGGGTGTCACACCAAGGTAGAGGATAACACAGCATGTCCAAAGGCCGCATCAGATTTCTGATGAACGTCCAATCTGTAATGCTTGATGAATGTGGATGGCTGTGACCATGAGGCAGAGGCACAGACATCCGAAGAAACACCATAGATGTTGCCACTACCCTGGTAGAATGAGGCCAAACGCCTTGAGGAGCTGGCAGGCAAGAAGCTGGTAAGCTAGGCGAATGGTAGAAGCAACCCATTTAGAAATCCTCTGAAAGGCCACTTTACAACCTTTAATAGGGAGTTGGTAGCTGACAAAAAGTCTAGCTGAACATTGAAAGGGTTGTGTGCCGGCTACATAGAAAGCTAGAGCCCTTCTCACATCTAGAGTATGAAGGATCTTCTCCTGAGGAGTAGATGGGGATGGAAGAAAGCACAGAAGAACCAACGGTTGGAACAGATGAAACTGGGAGACAACTTTGGGCAGAAAAGAAATGTCTACAAACAGGTTGACCGTATCCAGATAAAATTGGAGATACAGGTAATTAGGCCAAGGTGATAGGCCTCTTGGGACAGAATAGGGCACAGTGTCCCATTGTGCTTTGGCTCCTTGGACATTGGGTGATGCAACCAGGGAGGACTCGCTAGGAGAGCCAGATTGTTGAGGGATAGAAGGGGAGGATGAGAGTAGGTCAACTCGCTGCTCCCATTCTGGTGACTGCAATGGGGATGGTTGTTGAGATGGGAGGCCTTCTTCATCTGAGGGTGAGCCCACACATGAGATATCTGGATTCCGGGAAGGGGTGGGGTAGGGGAAGTAACCCTTGGCGATTTTGCCTTTGAAGAGTTAGACTTCTTTGGTGGTGAGGGTTCTGGAGCCGAAGATGCGTCGGTGGACAGTTTCCTTTTAGTGGATGTTTTCGATGTCAAGGCCTTCAATGTCTAATGCTTGGTTTTGTACCCCTTTGTAGTAGTCTTGGTCAATGTCGAGGAAGCATTGGAGCATGATGGCGTGGCCAAAGGGTGCTGTTTTGCCACTTTGGAAACGGTTCTGTTCATGGCTTTAGCTTGTGAAGTAGATTTACAAGCAGGCTGAGCCATAGATTTAGCAGGTTGGAGAGATGGCTCCCATAGCTGAAGTCTGAGTCTGGAAAGGCGGAGAATTCTGCGTTTAAAATGCGGAAAAATCCACGTTTTAATATTTTTACAGTGAGGGCATGTGGAGGTTTGTTGGGCCTCACCAAGACAACAAAGACATTTAGCGTGCCTGTCTAAAAGAGGAATTTTGTTCTCACAGACCACACAGCTTTTAAACGGGGCCAACATGGGCCATGAAATGATATATAAAAGTTTAGCGGAAGGCGGGGGTGAGCTTCAGTCTTAAGGCCAAAGTGATATTTTTCTTTCTTTTGTCTTTTCTTTTTAAAACAGCAAATAAAATAATAGTAATAGGGAATGATGAAAGAATCAAGAATGGACTATTTCTCATTTTTGGTTAAAGAATCACAGAAGCAACGAATGAGGCTCTCAACGTGGTGGTTGAAAGAAACTGAAGGGAGAGTCTTAGCATCAAAGTACATATACTGAGTGGGAGAGGTCTACACTAATGCGTTTTTTTGCTACCGCAGAAGCTCTACAATATTCTGATGAGGCTCCACACATGCGCACATTACCCAGAGTGTGATTCACAGAGGCCACGAAGAACTATTATTTTTTAATTTCCAATGCTCAGAGCTGCAAGTAGGTCCGGTGAATACATTGTCTGGAGTTTGTGGTGTTTGAATTTATATAGTATTGTGACATATTTAATAATACAGTGGTGCCTCGCAAGCCGATTGCCTCACAAGATGATTAATCCGCAAGACGATTGGTTTTTGCGATCGCTGTGGAGCTTTGCAAGACGATGTTTTCTATGGATGATTTTCACAAGATGACGATTTTCCCCCATTGGAACGCATTAAATAGATTTCAATGCATTCCAATGGGGAACTGCGTTTTGCAAGACGATGTTCTATATGGATGATTTTTGCAAGATGATTTTTTCCCATTGGAACACATTAATTAGATTTCAATGCATTCCAATAGGGAACTGCATTTTGCAAGACAATGTTTTCACAAGATGACGTTTTTCGCAGAATGAATTAACATCGTCTTGCGAGGCACCACTGTACCTGGCTTCTTTGTAAATAGGCAAAATAAATCCCATGATTTGGAGAATGGCGGGATATAATTCAAACAAGCAAGCATAGGTAGAAGCAAGTACCAAGCAAGCTCCTCAAACATAGGTGGTTTGTTATCTCAAGTCTACTGAGGGAGCCAGATAGAATCTGAAGAGGTCCCCAAGTAGAGATGGCAAAAATGTCATTTATTTATTTATTTGATTTATATCCCGCCCATCTGGTCTGGTCGACCACTCTGTCATTGGATCCAAGAATCTTGACTTGTAAGGAGGAACACACCTTGAGACTCTGAACAAATGTGAGGCTTAGAGTGTGTTTCAGGAAAATAAAGTGCATATAAATCAATGCACAAGTGTTAAAATGATAATGATAACCTGGGCCCAGTCAGAAAAAACACACTTTAAATGAGAGATATGTGCAAAATATGTAGAAATCCACAAAAATGTGAAAAATATGTACAAATCTGAAAAATGTGTACAAATTCCATTGCAATTTACCCTCCCATGAACGTTTGTGAGCTGCAAGGAATCCTCACAACTCACATACTACAGTGGGGTACTTTTCTTCCTGCTCAGCAGAAATGGCATCAGAACAGAAGGGAGGAAAGAGGCTGCTCTATCTCTTATCAGTTTGAGGGCTTTTATTCCCATAATTCAACATATGGGGGGGAGGTTCTCACTGAATTATCAGAGTAGAAGTTCCCCCCAAAAAATCTCATCCTTATTCACCAATGTCTCTTTCACACTAACATTCTTTCAGCTTTAATGACTTACATAGTGTCTGCTTTTGACAGCATCACTTAAGGAAAAAAAAGAGGCAAGCTCCCTCATTACAATGTCATGTGCACTTTTTTTTTGCAAGGATCATTTCTATTCCTTGATCTCCAGAATCAATACTACATAAATTCAAGAGGCATTGACTTATGCATCTTAACACCTCCTCCTATTTTGATATTTGATCAATTAATGATTATTCTCATAGAGGGAGCGCCTCACTCAAATAACAGAAATAATTTCCTGAGATATATTATGTGCAGAAATCAATGAAAGATCTATCACATTTACATCTAAATTTACCTTTTTGGTCGACACCCCAAATTGTTCGGAATCTTGTTATTACAACCCCAGCCTCTCAATGGCCTAAACGTAGTGATTCTAAGATCTTTAATTTCTATTACTTTTTAGAAACTATTTCTTACATAAGCAGCTTTGCTTTACATTTGCTGATTTTATTTCTGATTCTGCTGCTTGGTATCGCTACCAGCCGTACAGAGCAATTGTCAAAACGAAAAGATCTGACATATGTTATATATAATCCTACTTGCTGGCATTCTTTTTGTTTTAGATAGACCACCTGCTATTTACAGAAAGTGGAAGGAACATAATTAACTTAGAATGCCAAACTCTCTTAAATATGTACTAATTACACCAGCATAATATCGTTTACGGACTGCTTTCTTCTTTGTCAGAAGCACAGCACATTTCTATACAAGCCAAACAGTCAAGCAGATGAGCCTCAAGTAATTAAGGAAGGAGCATTTCAAAGCCAAGGTTTTAGCGTGCTCAAAGGAGCCAGCTGAGTATTGGGAACTTAAAATAATTTAATCCTCATCTGTGCTGACTTTTCTGCAGTGAACATTGTTTTTTTTTTAACTAGTGTATTACAGAGACAGAAAAGTGCATTTTTTTGATTATTTTTAAACTACTGCCAACTGTATATAACATACTTCTTACAAGCAGGCATTATATAAGGAGTATGTGCAAATATCAACACAAACTCGAGGCAAAATATATACAGCAGGGACAGGTCTGTTGGTTTAAACCTGGATCTGTCTTAATCATGTAAGCATGTAAAGAAATGTTGCCAATATCTCGTTCATGGCCAGAATAAGACAACCCAGTGGGGAAGTCTGTTGAGAATGTTCAAATATCCAAAAGGAACATTGCTTCCAGCGCAAAAGAAAAATGCCAAATGCTTTTCCCCCTTATGCACAACTTGCAGAAAATGTCTTCTGTGCCTCTTCTCTGATTGAAGCTAAACACACACACATAGATAGAGTAAGCACAAAATGACAGGCTCACTGCGCAGAATGACACAAACAACCTACCGAATGTCTCTGGTTATTTAAAAAGCATTGCAAAATCCAGCAACTGCTGTGGTTTTAAATTACGCGCATGTACACAAATGCACAAAATTCAGCCTTGCAAGTGAACAAAGTCTCTTCAAGACCAATGAAAATGTTTTGTTGTCTTGTAGGTAAGGGAAAAGGTTCTGTTTTTTTTTCTCAAAAAGCCAGATCATGACTTACATCCATTGTTCCCTTTAAGCTGCATGGGCACACAGCACTGCATCAGGGCTACACAGCTGAGCTAATGTTGTTGCCCAACTGCATCTGGTTGCAGCCAGAACCGCATGCGTGGGGTGTCTGCAGGACTTGCACCCAGTGCTCCGGAAAATTAGAGGGAACATTGCTTACATCCCTATAATCATGTGGCAAAGGAAGCCTTACTGAAGGGCAAAATGGGAATATGGGAAAAGGAATGTAGAATCCTCATTGCACCTTGTAACCTCATCCTGTCTTGTTCCCAGAAAGTACCAAAGTTCAATTTGCATCTATAAAGACTGAGGATTTACTTAATTTTTTTTGCTGCAACTATCAGAACCCCATAGCTAGCTTGGCCACTAGCCAGGGTGGGTAGAGAATTCAGATTGTTGTACTAAAAATTATTTTTTCTAATCATTTGATGAAAGAGCAAGTGAGAAACATGCCATGAGAGATGAAGAAATCAGCACTACTCGACCTATCTTTATGTGTCATTTTTGTACCTAAATCTCTTTATAAATGATTTGGGTTTCAAAACATAGAACCTGTCAGTAGCATGAGCCTTACAAGACAGATTGATTTGTGCAAGCAAAGAACAAACTGGCTCTTACAGAAATGATTTCTGGCTCACTGTCTGTTTCAATTTTGATGACCTCAGGCTCTTCACAGTAGGGTTGTTCATTTTGTTCTTCAAAACACAACACCTGCATTAGAATTTAGAATAATGACAGTAGTTAATTATAACTCATTGGCAATGATGATATAGGTGTTAAGCACATAAATGGAGGAATTGCTTTCCTCAGGATATGTTACTCGTTTAAACAGCATGGCAGGCTATTATTAACAACTATGATGATAGAATGTATTGCCCGTCATCACAGAAGCTAGGTAGTGGCAGTTCAACCTTTTCAGGCTCAGAAATATGACAGAATCATAGAGTTGGAAGGGGCGTGTAAGACCATCAAGTCCAACCCCTACGCAGTGCAGGAATCTAAATCAAATCAGATCGGACAGATGGTTGTCTAGTTTCCCCCTGAGTGCCTCCAGCTTTGGAGTGCTCATCATCTCCCTATCAGTGGAGAGTTAGGCAATGTATGAATTAAGAGTGCAGAACCATACCAAAGCTGTGGAAGAGTGATTGTATCAAGCCCACCCTGCAAAAAACATTCTACCTTTGGCAAAATGAGATCCTTCCTCTCCTCTGGCACAAAAGGAATTCTTTTTTCTTCCTGACATGGCTGCTGCCGCCTATCAGAGGGACGCTTTTCCTTCACAGGTGGAAGCTTATCATGGCTCCATTGTTGTATGCTTCTTTTATTTCTTCTACTCTTAATTGAACGTCTGCAAGCTGGAGATGGATCTTTACGCAAGGTATTTCTCTGGCATGCTTTCTTCTCCACATTTTATTTTATGTTATGTTAGGAAAAAGCAAAATTGGCATGACTTTCAGAGCTTGGATAGAAGCATTCCATTCAAAAAATCTGCCTGGTGGCTGGTTCATAAGAGAATATGAACTACGTCTTCCTCAAGGATAAATCCAAAACCCACTGGTGCTCTTAGAAGAAAGGCTTGTTAAACCCATCACTTGCTAAATTACTTTCATAAGTAGCCTTCCCTTTGTGAAGCTAAGCACACACACACACGCGCTCGCAGAAGCTACAGGACTGTTTAAAAACATCCACAAACAAGCCATCCACCACTTCATATGTTTAAAAGTCTATCAAACAAGGCAGCAATTACTGCAGTTTTGTGCAGGTTATGCAATCTGAAGGAGGGGGAATGAATTCCCAACAACACAAGAATATCATGCGTCCTTGCAGGATGAGGAGAAAATCCTTGCAATTCCTTGTGTTTGAAAATAAGACAAGCAAAGATTTACGTTCCTACTGTGAACACTGTCAGAAGCATAGCCTCATTTACAGTCTCTATTGTGTATCACTTACCATTCACTGCCCATGTGTCTTAGAGGCACAAATTTTGGATCAGGACTTGGGAGACCCAAATCCAAAGAAAATCATGGGTTTGCCATGCTCAGTCGCAGGGATGTAACAAGTACTCTGCAATTCGTTTTTGATTCAGCATTTCTGACATTTTGCCCTGGTGGGGGAATTTTCCTATGATCCCCATGGAGGCTAAGAGATTTCCCAGAGCAGTGGCTGAGAGAAATACTGAGGACTGCGTCTTTTCTTGCCCCTTTCTTGTGCAGGATTAAATATGACAGTACTATGCTGTTTGTGCTTGATGCATGATCCTCTGCAGGATTTTTGAATATTTGTTGCTCTTGTCAATGTCAGGTTCTTACACTGGTGAGATTCAAATGGCCCTCTTAGTTGGCAATTACCTGATCACAGGTAATTATCATGGCCTGTCATAACTACTGGAAAAATCTTTTGGAACCCAGGAAACAATTTTTACACACCTTTCTCCTTAAAACGACCAAATTCCCCAGGGACCACTGGGGAATTGGGTCCTTTTAAGGAGAAAGGTGTGTAAAAATATTTTAAATAAATAATAAATAAACCATATTGTTCTTTAGTCAAGGTGAGGAATAATCTCTGTGTCATGTCCCCACCCCCAATATTTAAATGCTTCTTCAATAATTGGAAATGGTAGATTTGCCTGAACTTAGCATTCAAGCACCAACTCAGAGAGAAAGGGAGAGAAGCTGTAGATGGTCTACAACCCTAATTGGGAAAGGCTATACTGTGGAGAAGGCATTACTTGTATATTCATAATTATGCCGTGGAAGATTCCCCCTCCTCTCATTTCAGTTCAAGCTGCATTGCTACTGCTTAAAATGCAAGGAAACAATGTCTGAAATCTTGTTCAGTGCTGTGTGTGGGAATTATATCATCAGCAGAGACAAACTGTTGCTTCCATTGGCAATTTTGCCATGTATAAGAACTTTCTGGCGCTGCCAAAGCAAGCTTTTAATCAGCAATGCTTTGCTGTTGCTGATGACATTGTTTCTGTTGTGAACACAATGTTTTGCAACAGGATTTCAGCTGGTGAATGTTAGAGGGCTTCTGAACACAGGTCATTATAGGCCATTATTTGGCCATTAAAGAAGAGAACAGCAAACAATGAAGGCTATGATGGCAGCACTTTGGCAGAGAAAAAAGTAAAGGTAAAGGTTCCCCTTGACAATTTTGTCCAGTCGTGTCTGACTCTAGGCAGCGGTGCTCATCTCTGTTTCCAACACATACAGCTAGCGTTTGTCCGCAGACAATCCTCCGTGGTCACGTGGCCAGCGTGACTAGACATGGAACGCCGTTTACCTTCCCACGGAGGTGGTACCTATTTATCTACTCACATTTTTGCATGCTTTCAAGCCGCTATTAACGTCTGGTCTCTTCTCCCCCCCTTTAAGTTTGATTTTATGTAAATATAATCAGGTTACATTACACAGCATTTTGAATTTATGATCATGTCAACTAGCTTCTCTGCTTTCTGGGCTTCAAAATACAAGTATTTCCTGAAGTTGCCTTTTTTCCATGGCTTGTTTATACTACACACCAGTTAGGTTGTTCATTCTTTTTGTGAATAATTTCCTCCTTCACCTGCCCTCATCATTTTCAGTGTTTGCCTCTGCAAAAGGAAGGTAAGGGCAGCTTTCATGGCTTGCTGATGGTTAAATAATGACCGATGCTCAGAGGCAATCTGATTAACATTTATTGTTTGCTTTCACAGAAGTGGATAAGATTTATCTAGGTGCTGATAAGGAATCCTGTGGAGAATGGCTTCAATTTCCATGCATTAGGTAGGGAATTATACCCTGGAGTCTGAAGAAAGAAACTGCTGATCAGGAAATCCCTGGTGAGGGGAGACAAAAGGAGGAAAATCACACAGAAAGCTTTGGGACCAAGAAGCATTGAGATTCACAGCATTTCTCAATAGGGAATCATTTTCTCAGACCCATGCAGAAAATGGGAATAACAGTGGCTTATTCTTAAACTACTCTCTGCAAGCTCTTTGAACATCAAAAGTTTGATCCAAAGAACTTTGAGTACAAAAAAAGAACCTCTCATACAGCTCCATAAATTCTTGTGGAAGCATTTCCCTAAAGGCCTTTGAAACCAAAAGAGTTTACTAGAAAGCATGTCTGTCACTCACCTCCTGAGGAGTTTGGGTACATGAGGCAACTGTGTGTGGTGGTATCAATTGAAGTTTCTGTCAGAATTTGGAAAAAAAGGAGCTTGAAAACAGACATTTATTTTTATCTGCTCATTATTATTCTAAAAAGAGATTGTGCTCCCATCAATACACATTCCTTGAACAAAACTGGATGAGGATATTTAGGGCTGAAATTCCCAAAATGCTGGCTTTCCCTGAATGGCTGGAATTGTTCAGCTGCCTTCCTAGAAAATATTCAGCAAATCTATCCCATTTCATTTGCAGACTGAGTGAAGAATTTTGGGTGCAACCAGAGTCCCCTAGTGACTCTTTCGAGTTCCACTGAGTCTTTAATTAATCAGCATGCACAAAATTGCTTTATTCAGTATTAACTGAGCTTGTTCAGTATTCTCTGAGAAATTTCTAAAAACTGTTCTGAGCCCAAATTTTCTGAGCACAAACATTTTCCAAACTCAGCAACGGCATACTGTACAGAATATACAAGCCACGAAAGAGAGTGTCAACCCTTACATTACATTTCTCTGAAGCAAAGAAAAGGTCAAAACATTAAGCAAAACTCAACCTGTATAGGTCAAAATCTGTGGGGAGGGTGTCATTCCACAAAATGTTTTCAACAAACAGAGATTTCTGGCTCAATGTTGTTTTTTAAAATTTCCCATGTAATTTTTAACCCCCCCCAATTAACTTGTATACTTGAGCAACAAAAAGCATTTCTTTGCTGAAATAGCATACACGTATGTTCACAAAATAAATAACAAATGTCTTATCTTTTTCTTCCCTGCTCAGAAGAGTTCTAATGAGTCTATTCAACACCCAAGAGTTTGAAAAAAAAGTTTAAAATACAAATGTAAATGTCCTGTCTACAATACCCCATCCCCTACTGAAAGTGCAATCTTTTCTTTGACATTGCCACAGAAAATGGACGCAGTTGAATGTAATGAGTCTACTGACTATTTGCACTGAGAGACATTCAGCATGGATTGAAACTAGAGAAATAGCACTTATGCTTATAGAGGTCTAACAGGCCAGTCACTGTCTTCAAAAACAATTACAGCATAGTTACATGTTTTGACTGTACTAAGAAATGACACTGAACATTAAAACATGTGAGATATTTAGAGATGGGCATGAACCACTGGTTTGGTAGGCAACACCCAGAGGAGGCAGAGCAGGGAAGCCAGGGTTAATTAGTTATCTGTTGAAGTTCAACCCTGTGGATGTTTGGGAAAGCACTCACCTGGGACTGTAAATCCTCCAGCCTTTTCTTATGTTCCCGAATGGATTCTATGATGGCTTTCTGTCTGTGATTCAGGGACAGAGTTGGGTTGAAGGTGCCCAAAGCGATGGAAGGCAAATGTTCTGGTGCACTACATCTACCAAATGGAATCCATCAAGGCAAAAAAAAAAACACCACACAAAAAAAGGAAGTTACTATGAACGAATATCTGTACTCACTCCTGAAATGATGCAAAAAGGTAAAGGTTCCCCTTGACATTTTTAGTCCAGTCGTGCCCGACTCTAGGGGGCGGTGCTCATCCTGTTTTTCAAGCCGTAGAGCCAGCACTTGTCCGAAGACAGTTTCCGTTGTCACATGGCCAGTGTGACTAGGGAATGCCGTTTTACCTTCCCACCGAGATGGTACCTATTTATCTACTCCCATTTACATGCTTTCGAACTGCTATGTTGGCAAGGAGCTGGGACAAAGCGACGGGAGCTAACTGGGTCATGTGGATTCAATCTTACGACTGCTGGTCTTCCAACCCTGCAGCACAGGCTTCTGCGGTTTAGCCTGCAGAGCCACCATGTCCCAAAATGATGCAAAAAAGGACTATTAATATGGGAAAGGTGGGGATCTTTTTGTTGTCTCATCCACATGAGGTGTGTGGCTCGAATCTGGTTGAGCTGGAAGAGCGATCTCTTTTTTCCATGGACCACTCCATGGATCACTCCAAACTTCCACGCCAGTTTTAATTTTTCCTTGAATGTAATTCTTCTGATTTGAATTCCGACACCAAAAGACATCCCCTCTCTTCCTCTTTCCATCTCTTCCTCTCTTTCCCTCATGCCCTCCCTATTCTCCATCCTATCTCCACTTCCTTGTCTATTTCCTTCCTATATGGAGAGGTACAGGCAAGGAACTTCCACAGTTGATGACAGGGGAGTGTGCACTCTGCATGTCCCATATGATCTGGGCTTGTTTGGGGCAAATAAAAATATAGGGCTGGCACATGTGGAACCAACTGGGCTGCCAAAAAAAAGGTTAAGGAAAATAATCCTGAAGTAGAAGGGAAGTGAAAGGCATCAATTTGAGTCTCTGGTAATATCAGGTTAAATCCATTAAGCTAATCCAAATGAATGGGCAATGGAGCCAGCTCTTTAACAAAAGCAAAGCATATGTGTGGACGAGCCCATTGCTATGCCAAAAGGCTGTACTTCTCTTTATGTTTGAATGTCTCTTTGCTCAGCCTTTTTCTTCTGTAAGGTAACTTCAAGAAAAAGTCAGGTTTTTTTTTACAGTGGTTATACTCACATAGAACCATCTTGTCTTAATGTACATAAAACTGTCCAAAGAAATTAGGAAAGTTGGTTTTTTTGACTATACATTCTAGAATATTCTTAGCAATTGTGCTGGCTGGAAGTTAAACTAAAAAGAAACTTTCCTCATATCTGACTCTGCGTGCATGACCCATACCAACAACATTTTGATAGTGCCAACCTCTCCCCACTGCTGCTTTTACTGCTAATACTGATTTGGTCTGATAAGACCAGGGTCCAGGGTTATTGTCCTCCCTATATTTCTTCAAATTCACCTTCTAACTAAGCTTTATGATCGGATAGTGTGGGACATTCCCCATAGCATCCGTTTACTGTCTCCTGATTATGGAAGAGAACAAAGAAACCTCTGTGTACACTGTATTCTGCTCACAGCTGTGACAACACCTGGTGGTCACTTCGTGTAGCATCTGGACTGTCTTTCCGGATCAAACAAGAGGCCATACTAATTTGCAAACAGAACTCTGAGCAAGCACGTATGAACTGAAAATACAATACAGTAGTTTCTATGGACGGAAAAGAGCAGATACGGATTAAATGCAGCTGTGACAACACCTGGTGGTCACTGGACTGTCTTTCCGGATCAAACAAGAGGCCATACTAATTTGCAAACAGAACTCTGAGCAAGCACGTATGAACTGAAAATACAATATTATTTACACGACAGAGTGTATATAGATGTTAATATCCATATATATGGATATATATCAATATTAACACCTATATTAAAATCCAGGCTGTTTTCTTAATGATAATTCCCAGAATTCCCCAGTTACCATCCATAAAAGTAAGTTTTCCATGCTCTGGGCTTTGCAGTGGCAACTAGCTAGCCACATTGAGAATGCTAGGTTACATGGATCTACTAGCAGGGCTTGGAAACCATTAGCAGGTCAGATCCTGACATTAATAGGGCATCTTCCTGTATCATGTACTGCAGCATATCGAAAACATGTATAAACAATAGCATGCTGTACAGATGCTGTCAGACAACAGATCTCACTGTTCCTTACTGAGCTAGCTGGGGCTGGAGAAAGCTGAAGGCTGGGCAACATCCGAAGGTCTACATGTTGCCCATCCAATCTCAAACACTGCAGACAAAGGGGGTGGAGACACTGTGCTAGGTGCTACCTGTCATTGATTTTGTTGAAATGTCAAAGCTTACTTATTCTCCCAAGTGTTAGGGCTCTTCGCACAGTTCCAGATGTCATGACTTCCTCTCTGATTTATATCACTGTCAAGTGACACGAGTCTCCATTTGAGGCACATATCTAATGAAATGAATAGAGTTAAATCAGAATTAATTATTACAAATTATAATGACACAATCGATTTCATGTGGCACTGTTGACTAATTGCCTGCTTTGTTTATTTTTCATTATCTCCTCTTTGACAACTTGGGTGGCTAATGAGTTACAGTAGTTTTAGCAATGGCTTTTTCTCTTAAAAGAAATGCAATTTTATCTCCAAAGGTCATTGATCCAGGATTCAATTGTATGAGACTGAATAGGGGGAAAAAACATCTGTTAAAGCATCAAACCTGTGCTTTGATACATAGGTGAGTCACCTGCATGCCTTACAGAAGACAAAGCATAGATCTTTTCAAAAAGCCATTCTTGTCATCTATGAACCTCACTCCACCTCACCATACTGCTCTCGAATGATACCCTCCTGCCAAAAGTATTTTAAAAGCAAGATATTTATTTTTAAAATGGCTGTCTTAAAACCACAAAAACAAAAAGCAAGCAATTTGCCTATAATCCTCCTTATCCCACACTGAGGCCTACAAGGCTACTTAAATTCTGTGTTGGCACTGGCAGTCTTTATAACAGACTGTTCCATTAGCTGCTTCATAGACAGGTGTTCAGGGCAGTAAAAAGTGGTCTAAAGAAGCTGTTTATAGAAGGACCATTTTTTAAAAAGGAAGAGGCTAAGGGATTGTGTTTTTTAAAGGAAAAAGCAGTGTACAATACAGTGAAAAGAAAAGTTCAAACTAATGCATATGAGACAAAAGGGGGAAAAAGAATCCTAATTTTTATCCCACTGAATCTTATCTTTTCTCCATTCAGTTTTTATTTTTCCCTCCCAGCTGCATAAACTCACCACATTGAACAATGTCAGGAATTTCTACTGCCCGTCTTCTCTTATACTGAAGTGTCTCAGAAGCTTTTTCATTCCACTTGTTGCTCTGATATCCAAAATCACTCCAAAATGCCTTTTCTCCTTTTTGACCTTGAAGGACCAATAATTGCAATAGCATAATATGATACAAGGATAGGCAAGTTCCAGGGGTTGTCAGGGGCACACAGGGCTCTCCCAAACCATGGTGGACCACTTCCAAATTTCACAGCCCCATGACTTAAAATGGCTACTTGTACAATCAGGGTGTCTTCAATACCAAAAATGGTGGACAGTATTCCAGGGAAAGTATTTTGCACCTTGCTCACCACTGTTGTAGTGAGTCTGCACTCTGATAAGAACTTCTAGGTATCAAGAGTCTGGGCTTGAACACCATAAGCATGAGGACAGATTGTTTGATATTGTTCTGGGCAACATTACAGGATGCTGTTGCGCCAGTTTACTGTAGTCTTGAACCTACATGGTTCTCATTCAGAAAAAGCAGAAAGTGATTACTTAAGAAACAGTTGTTTCTGGGCAAGCAGCAATTTCTCCTAGGGGGAGGGGTGCTATCTGTTAGGACAGAGGGTCAAGTAGAGGAATCATGCTGCCTTCTGCAAGGAGGAAGGAAAGATAAAGAAGTTCTATCACATAAGCAGGGAAAACAAAACAAACCAGTAGGAACTGTATGAATAGACTGAAGTTTATTTTATCATACCTCTGTGTGTACTGGGCATGCTCATGTGTTTCTCAAGTTTCTAAATCAGCCAACTGTGGATTCAGATGGCAGTTTGTGGTGAGTTAGCGGAAGGGGGTCTGCATACTAGAAGAAGCTATTTTCCAACAAACTACATAGTGACTTGTCATGATACCCAAATGTGATCTTAAAGATGCCATCATTACCATTCACATGGTACTGCCAGAGACTTCACAAACCATCTATTTTTGCTGTGTTTCAAGGACTGCACAACCATCTATATGTCATTTCTTATGGAGGCCTACTATAATTGTACTTAGCATGAACAAATACAGAAGATGAATGCTATTTTTTAAGTTAACCCAGAGTGACAGACAGACAGACAGACAGACAGACAGACAGACAGACAGACACACACACACACACACACACACACACACAAACAGAAGCCAAAGTTCTTGGAAGGCAAAAACTCAGAAACACTTGAATACCTTGCTCAAATATTAATGATTAAAAGTGGATTTTTTAAATGTGCATTAGAACAATGGCATTCAAATCCCAAAATGCAAGTTACTATCTATATTTGCATATGCACACAGATGCAATTTAGCAAAAAGAAAGCACAAACATGTTTGCTTGTTCTTCCAGGCATTCTGCTAGTGAATAGTAATTACTTGTCAGATTTTATGAGCAAGAAGCAGCTTGATGTTTCTCACCTCCTTTTTATTCTCCCCTTGTTCACAAGGTACGTTTGTTTCTCTTGTTTGGTTATGTTCATTTGGGTAAGCATTTGCAGCACTCCAACCAAGGACAGTTGTAGGGCAATTGCATTTCACTTGCCATTAAATTCACGGTCCCTTCTTTCAGATCCTTCTCTCAATGCTGATGTCCCCGAATTTGGTAGTATCTCCTTTTATTCTACTAGCTAGCAATCATAAATTTCCAGGGCCAGGAGACTGATTCAGAAATAATTCCTTCAAGTCCATGATGCCCAGATGCATTTGACTACCACACCCATCATCCCTAGCTAGTAATCCAAAGATGATGCACACTGCGGTTTGATGGGAATTGCAGCCCAATACATCTGGCAGGTATTAGGTTGGAAAACTTGGTCTCCATTTTGAAAGAACCACATGTCCGCTCATGTTGGAAGTTGTGAGGATGCCACTACCCTGCCCAAATCAAGCAATATTGCTAGCAAATAAAGTGGATTGTACGTCTAGTCTCTCACAAGAAGTGAGAGTTCTGTATTCCATGCCATTCTCTCTTGCTTGATAAAATAAGTCCTACTTGTTACTTGCTTGGAAGATCCACATGATCTATATGAAACCCTTGTGTGCGGCAATACAGGACCCACTTCTTGGACCAGCCCTGCCCTCTGGCACCTGTAGAAGGAATGCAGTCACCAGCAAAGGAACCTTGATACCTAAGTGCCTGTTTGTACATTAGGAGTTTCATGCAGCTGGTAGATGTGGTGCCCTGACTGAGAGGAGCCCAGTTACTTCATCTGTGCAACAGCTTTTCTGCAAGAGGTCCTCTCCAGATAACATGCTAAACATGGAACTGCAGTCCTAAAATGTAAATTTGCCAGGCTTTGGTTCAGGTGTAGTGTCTGAATAGGACAACAATAAAGCTGTCTTTGGCTTAAATCAGCTCCCAGAAACCAGACTACTCACTTATTCCTATGTCTTTCCAGTACTGAGCAAGACAGTTTCCCATTGCTTTCAACAAGCAGTTATACTCCTTAACATTTGCAAAGGCCTGCTTGTTGTGTGTCGGTTCCATGATTTCTGTGGGTACATCCACAATCCCCACTGCTCCAGCACCAAAACTGTAATGAAAAAAAGAAAACATAGTTTGAACACAAAATACAAGACATGCACACCACAAACAGAGATGTCTAAACTTATGACATGCTCAGGTTTTATGCACAATTTTTTAAAAATTAATACTTTATCCTCTGGATCTTATCTTTTGAATAATGAAGACTGTGGACTGCTAGTGTCTCCAATTACAACAGCCCAAGGCAAGTAAAGCCACGAGCTGGTCTCAGTCTCTCAAACAATCTCCACAGATGGCATTGCTTGTTGAGGAATATGCTTCTGCTTCACATATTCAGACTTTTTTCAAGAACCTGGAGCTCAGCAGCAGCCTGTACCGACACTTAGAACACTTAGATGCCGAGGAGCCAAAAGGGGTGGTGCCACACATGAGCATCTTGGTGTAAACAGCAATCACCAAGCCCAATATGGCAAAGAAATCTCAAGCCAGAAATACTGCGTTACACTCAAACCAAAGACTCTTGAGTCTAAATTCACAACCGTAGGTCCCAAACTATAGAGATGGTTTATTGATGCCAGCACCACACCTGGAAGTGCTTGAAGAGACAGAGTTCCTGAAGAGACAGAAGCAGAGATTGTCTTTCATTCATTTCTTTAAACTGTTGGATGGGGCTTCTAGACTGAAGCATGAAAGTCTCCTACATCATCAAAGTAAAATGCTAATTTATTGCTCTGCTAAGTATTTGCAACAACCAGCCTGCTTTGCCTTCCTGAGCCCTAAGGGTTCCTGATTTGGACCAGAACATGGCATGTATGATTTCTCCACAAAGCCTCTATATATGCCAGTTTTCCTCAACCATGAGCTGGTTGAACTACGAGCTCACATCACCCCCAAGCAGCATACACAACAGCCATGGTGGCTAAAGATGGAAAGTATCTTATTGGGAAACCCTTCTATATGCATGTGATACTACCATTTTAGAATGGAAAGACCCATCACAGAACTCTTCAGGCAATTCAGCATTGGTTCTGTTCTAGGTACAGACTTGCGCAACCAGAGACCACCAGTAGATTTACACCTCAGATTCTACCTACATGTAGTCTTATCCAATGGGTTTTTTCTGAGCAAGGCAAAAGAACTGACTACTCATTCTAAGTGCAACAGCCCCATTTAAGACGTAGTCTCAAAGCACCTACAAACCACTGCTCTTTAAATGCAAATCTATCTTTGAGAAAAGGGATTTTCCTCAGGATTCCTCAAAGGAAAATCTCCCTTCTTACGCATGTTGTTATGTTGATAATCCTCAGCCCCCCCCCCAATATCATGAGTTATATTGTCCTAAATCTATTTTCTAGTCTCAGCTAGAGGAGATCCACAGAATGAATTGCTGAATGGTAAATTAGCGCTAAAATAAATTCCATTATTTCAGCCCATCTACTCTGACTGAGGCAAGTAATTTAGGACCTTAGATTCCCGGCAGAAGCAACAACAGCCAGCTGTGACATGTGAGTACGTGTATTTTTGTTCCTATGGTCATGTGTTTGCATTTTTAATATACAAGTAGGTTTACATAGTCCACGTAACCCTCAATACTGGCTAGGCAAATCTTAGAAAGAGCTTATGTCTTACCAAGATCCTATATTCTTCTGTGGTCCTACTTTCTCAAACATCCGGATCAAGCGATTATTGCTGTAGATAAGCATGCCATCTTGACTTCTGTTCTGAATGTTCATTCCAAATATTAAGAAGAGTTTTTTTGGTCTTCTCAGATTTCTGAAGGAACGGTGGGACAATTAAAAAATGTTTTCAGACTGCAGATGACTTCCTTCTGAGACTCATGCCACAAGTAACTCAGGTACATAACTGCAGATTTTGAAAATCAACTTAAACATGGGACACATTAGGAAAGAGGAGAGCCTTAAGAGAAAATTGTAATTCATCACCCCCACACCATTTAATTAGGTATTTCTTCTAGGCTTCAGGTATGTGTCGTTTCATTTAGTCTTGCCCGACTCTTCGTGACCAAAGAGTCACGTCAGGAACAGTCAGGTATGTGACTCATAAAGAATCTTGAACATTCCTGCTAAGACAGCTATCTGTATACATCAATAAACTGCTCTTGAGTTCACTGGAACCTACTCTCCTACACACAGGATTGCAACCTAAGACTGCCATCTTATCCACACTTACTTTACAGTCAGTTCTCCTGAACACAAAGGGACTTCACTATGGTTTTGTAATAATTTTGAAACTTACTGCAAATACAAGATTTTTTTTAAAAAACCCTGATACTAAAGTGAAACAGTTATAGATTATTGTGATCTGCATTTATGAACTCAAAGGTCAACAAGGCACTAAGGCTGGAAACTACAACATTAAAGAAAAATATATTTTTCATATTTATATCCAAGAACATTCTTTTAAATTATTGGAAAAATTATTGGAAATGAACTTTCTTAAGAAATCCAGGGCTGAATTTTGGCCACCCTTTCGTGATTTTTAGTATTTTGACAGAAAAATGGCTGGTTTTAGTATTATACCCATATAACCACAGTTTCTGGTGCATTATTGCATCCATATGAAACACAATGCCAGAAATATTAAAATCTATATACATCTTAGGATTGGTTTACACATAACTGGCCATTTAAGGCAGACACATTTCTTCTCTTTTCTTGCACTTTTTTCTTTTATAAGCTTTTTGTGGACAAGGTTCCATTTCTATTACAACTCTATTACACAGATCTACACTACTCCATGTCTTCACTTGCCTTTGTATATCGTCCAATTTTTCTCTCATTCTCTTTTCATTCTCCAGAGCATCACGCAGTGCATGCTGAGTGAATGTTATTCCCAGAAAAGTACAGCAGTAGGGAAATAAAGAGAGAGTACTTTACCATTTATTTAATACACATGATGCGCCACAGCCTTCTTATTTATCAGAGATTTCACTCCATTCATGGAAACCTGAAATAAGACTATAACTGGACTGCTAACTGGTAGTACATCATATGGCAGTGATACTGAAAGACCCATACTGGTTACTAACTACTTTCCAGGCCTAATTCAAGGTGTTGGTTTTACCTTTAGCCTTAAACCAGTGCTTCCCTTTCTTGGGTGTCCAGATGGTCTTGGACCACAGCTGCTAGGAATCCTGGCCAGCACAGTTAGTGGCGAAGACTTCTGGGAGTTTTAGTCCAAGAACATCTGGGTGTCCAAGGTTGGGAACCACTTACCTAAACAGTTTGGGGCTGCCTATCTATGGGACCAACTTTCTTATTATGAACCTGTCCAGATGTTAAGATCTTCAGAAGAGGCCTTCTTCAGAACACTAACATCTACAGAGGCCCATTTGATAAGCATGTTGCCATGTTGACTTGGGGTATTCTGGAAACTGATTTCTAGAAAACAAAACACAACATTCCCCATCTCCAGGGCTCTTGCCTGTTTTATGTTCAGTTTCTTCCTTAACTTTGGTTCCACCAGAACACATTCCAAAAAGTATAGGTGGCTCCTGCCTCATTATTTGCCCACCAGCCTAATAATTCAAGCTGCCTTGACTTGCATTGTTTGGACTCTGTTTATGTACAGCACCCAGCACACCGCTGGCAGTATAGAAATATTGAACTGCTACCTCTAAAGGATTAGTAACAGTCATAGGTTATCTAAGTCTAGCAATACAGCATAATGGGAATTAGCAATAGTGAATGCTTCCCCATGAATATAAATGATTATTTGTGCAGGTACGGTTAAGCTATAATTAACACATTGAAAATCCTCTGAAGTGGAAAATGCCCCTCCAAACAATCTTAAAAAAAAAATAAATAGATCTGAAACTGTAGCCAAAGCAGCTTGTTAATGATTTTTAAGAATCCTCAGCAATAATAAATAGGCAATTAAGTGGATCTGAAAATCTTCCCTACTGTTTAAAGGTCACACTAGGCAAAACTTTCAAAAGCCTACCATTAACAACGTTCATGGCCTATATTTTCATGCAATTAACGTATAAGTCTAATCAGGTAGCAAAGATTAATGTGTCAAATGTTGACACTCCACACTGGCAATTGTGGGCCAACACAGTGTGTTACATAAAGGACACGCTCAGGGCACAATTCACTGGGAGGCCCCTGAAATGACAAGGGACAATACTGCCCCGTTGTGTTTGCTGCAGCTAACATGGTTACCCCTCCGGCAAATGTTTGTTGCTTGTCAAAATACCTCATTGTCTTTGTACAGGTGAGAGTCCTGCATATGTTTCAGCATACCCTTTGCTTCTTTCACAGCATCTTCAGCTACAAGTAGAAGCAAAAACATATGTCAGAATGTGTCTTTATATTCTATAAGAGCCTCTATAAGAGCCTTGTGGCGCAGTGGTTAAACCGCTGTACTGCAGCTAAAACTGTGCTCACGACCTGGGGTTCAAATCCCAGGTAGCCGGCTCAAGGTTGACTCAGCCTTCCATCCTTCCGAAGTCGGTAAAATGAGTACCCAGCTTGCTGGGGGGGGGCAATGTGTAGCCTGCATAATTAAATTGTAAACTGCCCAGAGAGTGCTTGAAGCGCTCTGGGGCGGTATATAAGCAGCACGCTTTGCTTTGCTTTTGTGTTAGAGATAGACCTGTCTAATCTTCTCCCTGAGCAAGCAAAAATATCAAGACCAACTCTAGATGGGACCTTGACCTTTGTGGAAGTCCAGAGAACAGACCTGCGATCCTCCTGCAGATCAGAGCTTAAGCTGCAGCTACGTTTTACTTACGGGGTGTGGGGAAAGTGTGTGGAATTAAGGGCTTGTAAAATGGAGCCCACCTTGAACTAGACTTGAGCTTTGAAATGGGCCACAGTGCGATATTCTGGTACTGGTAATCCAAAAAAAAATGTCCACATCTGTACTGAGCCAACGTCAATGCTGATTTGTGTGGAGGTAGGCTGGCTGGGTTCATGCAAGAAATCTATAATTCAGACCTTCTTGTTCACAAATTTTGTGAGATGTTGCTGACCTTCTCACAAAGTGAGTCAAGTCCCTCCACTTTTATTCAAGGCACTTCTCAAATCGATTGTCTAATTCTAATGAAGGAATTAATTACCCTTTTCTCTCCTAAAGCTACAGCGATTTTTGTATTTTGCGCATGTTATAAAAGGTCGCTGCCGGGAGCAAAATCAAATCTAGCAAGCTACCACGCTTGCAGCAAACTAGTGTTTGCAGCAAACTAGTGTTTGCAGCAAACTAGTGTTTGCAGCAAACTAGACTCCTTGGCACTATCTGTTCAACAGGCAATTCTCCCACTACTACTTGAATGGGTTCCCATGGAATGAGACGAAAACAGATTTTCTCGATTCTCTACGTAGGTAGAAGTCAGTTTGTTAATGAAGTAAAGACAAAATAAGAATTAATGCGTGAGACCTGTATCTATGTATATATTTATGTGGTAGATAAAATTAGATTAAGTTAGAATATAAAGACAAATTTTATCTTATGAAGGCTACAGGACATACCAGCCTTCACTTCCATTTCAGTCTCTTCCAATTTCTTCATAGCAACTTCTCTGAATGAAGATGATATATATGGATACATCCTATCAAGATAAAAAGCAAACTAGCATGAATTATTTTCATGTAAGGCATGCAGTACGACCGAGGATCATAAGAATGGAGGGAACAAGTCCTCATTATTCCTATTTTGCAAGAAGGAAAATGAGCCGGACAATTTCCTTCCCACTTGCCCCCAACACTTTACAAATGAAGTAGGCATTGAACCCAGCGGGAGGCATGGATTGCAAGAGGTCTCCTCCCTCCCAAGAAAAGCTATATTGACATGGGCAAGGTAAGCTACTGTGGTCAGGCACAAAGAAATGAGTTAAACCAGTCATGTATGTTTATCACGTATTTTTCTGTCACGATTCCGTTGGCTGCTCGGTTGCAAAAGGGAAATTATTAAAGCACCTGGCTGAGATATCAGTCTTTGACCTCTGGACTCAGCCTGATGACGTACATGGTAGGGAAACGCTATGTAGACTTTAGCTCACGGAAGCCAGGCTGTGCATGTTTACTCAGCAGCAACTCTGGCTGAGTATGATGTCTAGGGGATTGCAGCCATAATGACCACCAATATCCAGATGTCCTATCGCAGTACATTGCCAGTATGGGATGAACTGGCAGCTTACCACTAATGTTACACTGGGGTTGAGCGAAGTATGCTGCCAGCCCCCAAATCCTCCCACAGCTCTGCCTTAAATATTTTCACAAGTACAAATAGCAACTTCTTCCCCAGAGAATGGAAAACTGGCAATTTAAATGGCATGCGAGCCCCATTCCAGGCCTTTTAAGGGCTTGGAATAGCCTTTCTAAAATACTCTCTAAAGTGAGCAACCATCTCTTCATTGTTCTTTTTTTTTCTTTCAAATTTATACCGTTGATTATTACAGAGAAAGGTGGCCATGAGGTTGCAAAAGCTCTGGAAATTACCTGACAGTTCCTTTGTTCAGAACAACAGTCCACAAGGTGAAAGACAGGCATGATTTGTTTATTTGAAACAATAAAGATGGCATTTGCTTATACTGACTGATTCATTAAAATTGCTTTTTTATGCTGTTTAGGTTGATTTATTAAACTTGTTTTTTTTATGCTAGATATTTCCCATGTATTTAGGTCACTTGAATCCCCAAAACCTCCAGTCTTCTCTACACAATTTGGTACAATCAACAGGATTGCTACTCAATGTACTTTTAAGATTCATGCTCCTCACACATGCATATTATAGGTATCCTGCTACTGAGCTGAGTTAGAACTGGACCAGTTTCCAGCTCGATTAAGACTTCATTTGGCTTATCAATAGAAATGGCATGAAATGCTGCTGGTTTGCGTTTCAGCCAAACAGGTATTCAGTGCTTTTCACTCCTGTCTCCTCCATTAGGCGTCCACTCAGAGGCAGTGCCTGGAGGAGGTGGGGCAGAAAGGCTGGGATGCTACCTCCGAGGGGCGATGCTGCTCATGGGGATGCTGCCCACTGGAGGAGGCAGGGTTCTGAAGTGCCAAACACCTGTTTGGCCGAAAAATGAACCAGCACAAACTGCTGTTTCGTGCCTGTATCTACTCACCCGACCTTAATTCAAATTCACCCTACATGTTGCAAGATTAAAAATCCATTTAAAAAAAAGTCTGTTAAGTGGTTCGTAAGTATTTAGCGGCATCTTTCAAAAATGGCCTGAGCAACGTTTGGCTTGCGTACCAACAGAGAAATAAAATGAAGCAAAGACACACAGTGCCCCTTGCTGTCTGGTTATTATCTTATCTAAAACGTTCCTCACTCTGGGTCAAAGTGTTTGGTCACAGCTGATTTACTTTTTAACAGTCTAGCCAGCCAGCGCGGTCTGAACTTGGCTTAGATTATAAATTGCTCTGCCATCAAAACCAATTTCTCACTGAGGCGGGAAAGCTAATGCTTTTCAGCACACTGCTTTGAAAATGTAAATACCCAGCTTTGTAGTCATAAGAGAGGCCGACTCACCTTGGCCTATAAAAGCAATAAGGCAAGCGTTTGGTTTCTACTTTCTGGGCTTGAATGAATATCCTCATTCGGGGGTCGAAATACAATATAGCTGTATAGGCTCTCAGCGACCGTTGTTCTGGAAAGCTGGCTCAGAAAAGTGTTTAAGGCAGAATAATTTAAGGACCACAAGGGGGGAAATTTACTGGCTACAGGAAATTAGGTGCATAATCAGCTTGAACAAAAAAACAAAAACAAAACCTAACACAAATGTACTCTAACTCCTTCACTAAAGCATTCTTGAATCCCCATAAATTGCTATGCATTTCTTTTCCGGAGAAGAACATATACATATTTATCTGGGAAAAGCTTGAAAATAAACTTGTTAAAACACAGTGTTCTGCTAATGCTCAGGATCTGCTGGGGAAGATTTTTAATAGTGGAGCTAAATGGCCCTGTCATCTGACCTGGGGTAAGACAGTTCTCTGTTTGTTCACCTGCAGTTCTTCATAAACTGCATTGACATTTCTAAAGGAGCAACAGGATATAACAAATAGCACATGATTTCTGTTGTGAATTCCGAAGTACTGACACGTTCAGTTCTATATGAAGAATGGGATACTAACAGGGGTGTGTAAGGGCCCCCCAAACCTGCCAAGAGCCACACCACACTGCTAGAGCCATCTTGCTGCATTTTGTGTTGCACCACAAAGTATGATCCTATTCTTATCCATATATGGACAACGGAAGATCACCTTGCTGGAAAAAAATATAATATTGCATGCTTCTAACACTATGTGTCTATGGAAAACATGTGCTGTACCAGCCTCTAGACTTTAACAAGTTTTCCCCACATGGCAGAGTCTTTGGGACAACCCCTTCTAGCCCTCTGCTTCTCTTGTTAGTCCTCTTTTCCCTCCTCCACCTTCTGATCTGTGAAGACAGATGTGTGGCGATGCATCTCCACACTATACATATAAAGGAACAAAATCCTGAACTGTAAGTAAACACCTCTAGCTTACTTTAGTGAAGAAGTGTCCCGTTTGATCACTTTCCTTTCACAAAGGAAGGAGAGAGATAAGGCAGGTCTCTCCGTGCTTCTTCTGCACCAGAGGGGAATAACCAAATTCCAAATCCTTCCAATCACTTTAAAAAGCTACTTTTCTAAACAACTTCTCCCAGAATCCCCCAGGCAGCATGACCACTAGAGTGTTTGGCTGGGATATTCTGGGAGCTGGAGTTCAAACATGGAATGTCCCAAGTGCTGCTGAGAGTTATCTCTAATCAGCTCAACTTGGGAGGAGATAAAGGAAGGAAGGAAGGAAGGAAGGAAGGAAGGAAGGAAGGGGCACTACACTATCAAGGCTAAGGATGGCTCAGATTGGAATACTAGAACTGCCCTGGATTCACTTGTTGCAGGATGGTGCAGAGGCAGGAAGTGAGCCAGGGCTTACCTGTGTGTGTAAAGCTTTCTCAGCTTGCCCTGTTTTAAGCAGAGAAGGAGGTAAATCATGTCTGTTATGTTGAATCTACTAGAATTTTCTGATTTTTTTTCCTTTCAAACATTGGTCAGGGACCAGAAGTGCTAGAAACATACATTTAATGACAGAACATGGAGTTTTAAGAATCCTGAGCAAAAGTATTTGGGGGTTTGGTTTCTATCTGCCAACTTCTGTGACACATGGGCATGTCATAGTTTTCGGTTGCCAAGGAAATCAGACGGTACAAAATGCTTCCCCCCCCCAAAAAAATTGTCTTATATTTCTTGTCCATTATGGTGACTAACAAGCTTACTTCTCAGGTGCCCCAGCAATCAACAAGTCCACCTCATCTGTCTGATTATCAAGCTCCGTTTCACCTGTGACCGAGAGTTTCAAATTATATACCACCAGCAATGTTCCTAGATGAGAAGGGTAAAAATGATCATTGCAACAATCATTTCCCCAGTTCTCAAAAATATGAATTAAAGGGGAACAGAGTGACAGGGAGTGGGGGCTACAGTAGATAATCACAGTGAAAGAAAGAAGTGTCTGTTCCTGAGATCAGATTCATATAGATCAGCTGTCAGTTTACAAAGATTCTTTCCCTGGTGGAAGTTCCTTTCCTGGGAAGGGAACCTTGGGTGCATCTCAAGTGTTTCCATACTTACCACCAAAATCAAAAGTTTCCCATCACCAAATGAAGGACAAAGGCCAACCACAAACCATTTTTTAAAAAAGCTGTATTTTGATCCACTCTGTTCAGTTACTCCGAGAGTACACACAGCAGAATAGCTGTTGCCCAGTGTAGGATCCATCAATCAAGGAACCATCAGCAGGGGATACTTGACTATCTGGTGTTTCTTTCTTTCATGCCTTTGCCGTATTGTGTGAAATGGGAACACTGCCATTTTCAAAGGAGTGACATTTATTCAGTTTCCGTGAACAGAAGTGCATCAAATGCAGAAAAGGGAGAAACTGTTAACTCTCCTATCTTACATGTCACCAAGGATTTGGGGTACATCTGTGCTTTGACAGGATAATACAAGTCCTTCTCTTAGTCTGACTTTGAGTTACAGACATATCTCTGTAACTGAGCATCCATCCCAGGGCCTTATTCAATGACAACAGGCCTTATTCTCCCCACTCAAAAGAGGGGACAGACGTCCCTTTAGTGATTGGCTACCAGAAAGGATTTTTTAAATGGAGTGTTGTGCCTTGTTGCTTTGAATCTGTTTTTGGTGTTGATTTTGTTTACCATTTTTAGTGTGTTACTTGTTTGATTCTCTTTCAATATTTATATACTGTTCTTCATTTTAAAATATTGTCTTTTACTGGTGTAAGCGGCCTTGGGTCCCATTTAAGGAGAAAAGTGGAGCAAAATATTTTGAATGAGTGAGTGAGTGAGTGAGTGAGTGAGTGAGTGAGTGAGTGAGTGAGTGAGTGGGTGAGTGAGTGAGTGAGTGAGTGAGGAGCACCTTGCTTCTCTTATCTGCCCCTCCTGCTCCAACATCTAGTCGTTTTCAGCACGGAGAGAGACCTAGAGTATAAAAACGTATTGCAAGCAACGGGTTTCAGCTTGTAGTGAGTAGCTGGCTGACATTCAGGAGCCCAACATCTCTCTTATGAGCATTTCTTTGAACATCTGAACATCTCATCTATCTCACTAGACTGTTGGGAAGATACAGCAGGTTGGAGAGCAATGTATGCCACCTGGAGCTCTCTGGAGGACAGGAAGAACATAAATGTCTAAAAACAAAGAAGAACTATTTCTGAAATGCCCACTGGGCTACTTCTATGAGTGGGGAGGACCACTGGGTCTTACTTCACCTATGCAGTAACAGAAGAAAACCATGGAAATTTTATTTTTGGGACGAGGGGCATAATCCTCATTTCCCCAGTTCCCAGAACCTTGGAATTCTGCATCATCATTGACCTGCAGTGGCACAAACCGGAGTCCATCCCATTTAAAGCAACAGAGCTTCAATATTCACAACTGAATATCCTCCTTGTGCAAGTGATGAGAAATCACAACTGCTTGAGCAGGCAGCTGAGAGAGAGAGAAAAAAAGGTGTCTTCTTTTGGACTGCATCTCCCCTCGCCAGCACTGGCCTGTAAGTGCTGCCCTGGAGCCACACTCTTTATTAAAGATACTGATGCTGGATGCTCATTTCACATAGGGGAAAATGCTCATGAATTAGGACCCAGCATTGAGCTGGGGACCCAGGTAGAATCCCTGGACTCACTTCTATCCAAATTGTTTACTGCCTATTCCTATTCACAAGTTCCACGAGAAAGACCTGCAATGATATGTTTTTGTTTCAGGGATCTAGAAACAATTCCATTTCCCTTTCTCCTGGTTTTCCATGAACTGTCCATATATCTATCAACACCCAACAAGCATGAAAGACGCTCAGCCTGGGCCCTTTTTAAACCTTTTCTTTTCACACAGATCTTGATATTATCTGAAGTCTACTAATGCCTCCTTCTTGTGTGTGTATGGTGCTAATTACACAAGCAGCTTCCCTCTCCCTATAAATATGGACATTTTCAAATGACTGCCAGAGATAGTATAGAAAATATTTTTTGGATAAGGACCTCACCTGTTTTTCCATAAATGCCATCAAACTGCTTCATCAGTTCTGCTTCACTCTTGAAAGGAGAATATTTGCAAATTATGCACAACTGTGTAGCAAATTTCTCAGAATCATCTGTTATTGGATTTTTTGTGTGACCTGACCATGAAGGTATTGGAACTACAACCTATAAAGAAAGAAAAATGACAATAAAAGAAGCAGTAAAATCCAAAGCCATATGTATTGTAAAACAAAACATTCCAAAACTCATTCCTTGACTCTACCCGGGTAATACTGCACAGTCTAAAAAGGACACATAAACTATTCTTTTCAAAGTTCATTTTAATGGTGGGGAAAACTCTCCCATGTTATCTTCAGACATCTGCTGAGCCAAAAAGAGTAAGGCAGACTTCATATGACCCTAACGGGGCTTTCAAGAGAGACACTGAAGGAATGGTTTTACCAGTTTCACATCCTCCCCCCATGGTTTTCCATGACCAAGCAGGAAATCAAACTCAAATCTCTTGAATGCTACTCTAATACTTTATCCACTACATCACACTGGGCATTGCTGTTATCACTGTATTCACTGCCAGTCAGTCAGTTTGTTTACTCTCTATTAATCTAAAGGCTATATCTGTAGTCCCTGGAAATCTTTGTAAATATTGTATATATTTACAAAGAAAATGTGGCAATGGTAGCCGGAAGATTCTGAAAATTGTAAAAAAGTAATGTTTCCAAACTAGTTGGCTCTCCCAGTCCTTTCTCCCATTGCTGCTGCCAATTTACTCATACTAATGCAGTGTTTCCCAGTCTGGGGGTTGCTATCCCCCCAAAGGGGTCACAAAGTGTTTTTGGGAGAGTTGTGGGTTGTGTTGTAGCTCTTGTTAATCAATTTCTTCCTTACCCCTTTAAAAATGGCTTTTTTGTGCGTGGAGGGAGTGTGTGTCACAGGTTACTTGGCAATGATAAAAGGGGGTCATGAGTCAAAAAAGGTTGGGAACGACTGCACTAAAGGCAAGGGCAGCAGAGGTCTACATGGGCCTACTGAGAAGGCTTCAAAGAGTAGACTGCTGGAGAGTTTGAAACCTGCAGCCTTTGTAATATTCATTGTAATACTAAATAAGACACTTTAAGAGAGGCAGGGCAGCAAGGAAACTGGCTGCTACTGGAATCCTTTCCTCTCCACATCTGGTGCCTGGGTCTGCTCTTCTTTCCCACTGTTTCATTCATTCATTCATTCATTCATTCATTCATTCATTCATTCATTCATTCATTCATTCATTCTTTTTTTCCTTTTAAAAGCTTGCAAATTCAGGTCTAGGACAGCTAGGTGATCAAAGATAAAGAAAAGAGTGAGGAATTGGCACAGAGAGGGGAGTAAGTTATGAATCAGCTTTGTTTCAAGCTTGTTAAGGTAGATCTGCTCTAACCATTTCTCCTGCAAATCTGGACAACCAGAACACAGCTACCTTAACAAACTTCCAACAAGTTTTTTGAGAGCTAATTTCCTCCACTCTCTCTGTTGTCTCCTGTGTGGTGGGCTGAATCAAGTTAATCCAGCAAAATTCAACTTCCTGGGTGCAACTTGACAGCAGATGCATTCACATTTTTCCTACAGTGTAGTTGTACCCAAATACAGCTACCTCTTTGGACATTGCTACAATAGTATGTATAGGGCAGTTAAAATGCAACTCACATCATATCAGCAGCACAGCATAAAAAATTAACCATAGATTTTGAAATTAATCACTCAGTCTAATTGAAGGAGCTTCTGAAACTTGCTACGTTGTTAAACCAAGGCTGAAGTAGCTGATTTCACGGGACATAAAATCTCTTATCTTTTCATGTAGCCAGAAGCAAAAGGATGCCTGTGAAATCAGGAACTCAGCATTTGAAAACAGATATTTTGAAATAATATTTCTCCATACACTTCCAAGAATTCTGAATGTATGGAACATAATAAGACCAACCTATTACTTCACTGAATAACTTTTAATAATTGTTGGTTGATATTTGTTTTTTTAAAAATAAAATGGTATGGCTACCAACAGTTGAAGACCAGTGATAGGGGAAGTTAGCTTTTCGGGACTCTAACCTTTTGGGGAATTCTGGGAGATTAGTTTTTAAAAAGTACGCTGTCCCATCTCTGATTAAAACAGTGCTATTCATATAAGAATCTGATCTGGCCCGTCCTTGAAACGAGCAAAATATTTCTGATTTGTGTAACTTTGGGCTGTTTTAATTAAACAATAGATGAAATCCTTCCTCCAGAAGTTACACCAAGATGTCACCAGCTCTGGTGATATGTTTTTTTTTTTTTTTTTGAAATAAAATCTTTCTGCCTCCACTTCCAACCCATCCAGAAAGATTCTGACACTCCCATGGGGCCCCTTTCATAAATGGGAAATCGAGAGGAGTGGTCGAGTCTTCAGTTACTGAAATTAATTACTGAAATTCAGTGCCACCAGGATGACTTTACAGGTAGTGGTCATTTTTGATAATTAAAAACTCCCCCTCCCCCAACAGCTTCTGGACGATGAGAGATTTCATGGGAGCCTGAGGATCTAAGGGTGGGGGTAAACTGGAAATACTTTATTTCAGAAAAATTGCTGCAACATAACTTACTGGACAAGATTTCAGCTAATAGCTATTCAGTCCCTGTGAGATTCTCATCTGCATTGGAACACTGGGCTATAAACAAATGAACAAAATAAACAAACAAAGGCAAACCTACCTCAGTGAGACCTTCAGTTTCACAAAAAGTCTGAGAGAAAAGGAGGCATGTCATTGTACTCTCTTTCTTGGTGAATAATATGAAGTCTTTCCCTATACGCATGGACCCTCTGTAAGAAAAAAAACAAACTCCAGAAAATACCATATTAAAAATATTTTTTCTGGTTGTTTAGCAAAAACTATTGAGCCTGTGGAAATGGGTGGTAATCCATGAATGCTCACACTTGCTTTGTTCTCCCCCACACCCTTGAATAGATGCTGAAACAGACATGGTTATCGGTTTAAAACCAGTTGTATTTTTGCACGCAACTGCAATGTGTTTCTAGCAATACAGAAAAAAACACAGATACACATGGGTTTCATTTACTCCTTTAGGATCAGGATGGAATTTTTCCTATCAGCTAGGAAGCTAGAACATTTTCTTTCTCTCCTTCTTGGCTACAAAATTAGGAAGTGCACTGATAATACCAGAGAAGCTAGCTTAATAAAACCTGAATTATGCAGCTAAAATGTTGACCAAAGTTGGATAAGGAAGTATTTGATTCTTACGTCCTAACTGCTTCACTGGCTAATAACTTATTTCTGGGCAAAGCTCAAAGTGCTGGCTACAACCTATAAATCCCTTCATGATCTGCAACAAGGTTATCTGAGGACTGAATTACATGATACAGTTAACACATCATTGAAACAGATATCAGTGTTCATTTATTTTAACATAACCTTTGTCCGTCTGCATTTGGCAAATTAACCTGTCCCTGTTTTGTAACTGGTCATTTGGAGATAAGCACAACTTTGCTTTTATGTCTGATTTCTGAGGCACTTGGCTCTGAACAATGTGAGTACTTGAAGGGATCATGACATAAGAAGAAATGTTCTTCAGTGGGAAACTGATGAACTTAACGAGAGATTGATCTACTTGTCCCACCCATATCCCGTATCTGGCAACACACACATCTACCTTAACATGTGCGCTGACCCTTAAAGACTATGTTCTTCAGTGGGAAGCTGATGAACTTAACGAGAGATTGATCTATTTGTCCCACCCATATCCTGTATCTGGTAACAAGGCTTTGCGAGGGGGGGGTGGAGCCTGAGAAGACTCTTTGTGGATTCCATTTTCTGGAAATCCTTTCCAGCCCTCTCTCTGACGATCTTGTATGGGCAGGCAAAGATATTTTTATTGAGAGAGATTCCGATCTTCTAACATGACTACCAGTGCAACCAGATTAACACACCTTTACTGGCCAGAATCCTATTGGTGTTTTCATATGGTTTGCATCAGTTGTCGTGGCTAACTGATTTACTGATGAGGTGCTGTGGAGCATCTGAGGCACATGACTGAGACATACCTCAGCACCTTGTCAACTAGCCACAGCAAACTGTCACAAACATTATTTGAACACCAACAAGATTCTTGTGTACTAGAGGGTACTGATTTGTTTTACCTGCAATATTTCTTTAACACCATATTTAATTTATGGCCTATTTTATGCCATTATATTATTGTATTAGTATTACATTGCTGGTAGCTGCTTTCAGCACTATTTAATGGAAAAACCAAACATAAATTCAAACAAATAATAAAACATTTAAAACCAACTTTACAGCTAATGGTGGGGAAAATGTTTCCCTTAATCCAGAGGCTTCTTCCTTGCTACCAAAGCATGAGGTATTTGAATTCTGTACATATCCAAAGACACACAGAGGTACACTTACGATTTAAGGCCATTGCCAAAATGTCCAATCATCTTAGGGTTCGCCCGCTTAGAAGATCTTCCAAAGTATATAAGATCTGTAGCTTCTCCTGCAAGAGATTTGTAATAAAGCAAAAACAAAGCATGTTGCTTATATACTGCTCCATAGCACTTTAAAGCACTCTTGGGGCAGTTAACAAGTTAATTATGCAGGCTGCACATTGCCCCCCCCCCAACGATCTGGATACTCATTTTACCAACCTCAGCAGGATAGAAGGCTAAGTCAGCCTTGAGACAGCTAGCTGGGGTTGAACCCTGGGTCGTGAGCACAGTTTTGGCTGCAGTACAACAGTTTAACCACTGCGCCATGAGGAGAAATTGTTAGAAATTCTTATTACAATATAAAATTAAAGGAATTTTTAAAAATCACATTTTTACATCTACACAATAGTTTGCACAATCAAAGAGCTCTGTAAACATAATCCTGCCTTTTCTTTATGACAATCTTTAAATGTAGGTGTTATAATCCTTATGATTAGGCATGGTGAGCTGAAATTAATAAGACACTTATTGCCTAGCTATTAATTTACAAGAGAGATGAGGCATGAATGACAGATTCAAGGCTCACGTTCTTAGTCCTACCATGGCCTATTCTGCACATAAGTGTAGAGGTCTTGTGGTGGTATACCCCCTGTCTGTACAACTTGGAGAGCCACACCAGCACCCATAAACACCTCCCCCCAAATATGTTGTTAAATGCAATGGGAAAAACCCACCCTTACACCCACCCTACTGGACAAAAATTTGGAACTGGTTTTCTTTTTTAAAATTTGGGGTTATCAGGGACTCCTGGGGCCCTTCAAAATAATGGGGGGTATAGTAAATTTTCCCACGCTCCCTATAGGACACAAGGCGACGTTTTAAACAAACATCTCTACTACTTATGAAGTAAACCAAAAGAGTTTACCACTTAAGAAAACACCTCTTATGAAGTTTAAAAGCAAAAGCAAAGCGTGCTGCTTATATACCGGCCCATAGCGCTTCAAGCACTCTCTGGGCGGTTTACAATTTTAATTATGCAGGCTACACATTGCCTCCCCAGCGAGCTGGGTACTCATTTTACTGACCTCAGAAGGATAGAAGGCTAAGTCAACCTTGAGCTGGCTCCATGGGATTTGAACCCCAGGTCGTGAGCACAGTTTTAGCTGCAGTACAGCGGTTTAACCACTGCGCCACGAGGCTCATTAATATGATATGATACCAGTCTGGTATGGTTCCACCCTAAGGAATTTCGGGGTTATAATTTGAGGAGGTATTAGAATTCCCTGCTGCAATTCAGAGGAAGGAACTAAAGCTATAGCAGAACCTTTGGGTGTTTAGGACTTTAACTCTCCTAACCTCTGACCACTGGCAATAGGATTTCTGGAAGTTTAAAGTCCAAAACATCTGGAGGGGCAAAGACTGAGAAGCAAAGGACTAGAGCTGTTTTGCAGAGAGCTCTAAATACTTCACCAAACTATAAATCCAGGATTCCACAGGAAGAAGGATGACAACGGACATGGCATCAAACTATGTAGTTGAAGAAGTTCTATATATTAAAGCAGGTGTGTAAAACTTCTGAGATACCAATAAAGAAACATAACTCGCTAGACAGGTATGAGAGGCCACTAATCAGGGCCAGTCGAAGACATTTTGGAACCTGCAATAGAAACCACATGATATCTCCTAGCCTTTCCTCACCAGATCATGGCACACAATATGTAAAGTTGATCATGCTGTTGCACGATTCTGTGCGCAATAGTTTTTTTTTTTAAAGTAACTATCACAAGTTCTATTAAAAAACAACAGCAACAGGGAAGGGCAATATGCGGCTCTCCAGATAGTCTTGCACTGTAACACCTATCAGTCCTAGACATCACAACTGGTGGTGAAGAATTATGGGAGAAGCAGTGCAAGAAACATCTGGAGGGCCACATATTGTTCAACCTGTTTTAAAGAGAGGGGGAGAGAAAGCACCGGTAGTTTAAGTGCCTGTCCAGGCTATGCTTCATACCTCCTCCTTCCCCCATTCCACAGTGATTCAGCAGAAACCAGTTAATGCTACGTGTCACCATCGCCCGCTCTTCTCATCCAGAGAGGCAAGAAGCAATGAAAACCTTTTGCTCAGGACAGGGGTGCCTCTCTGCCAGGGCCTGAAATAGAACCAATCATCCTCTGTCCACCCAGAGTGCTAAAAATACCTGCCTCCACCTTGTTAGCATCTGCTTTAAGTGGCATTTTTACATAACAAAAACTCAACACTCCCACATGCTGACCAAGCTGCTTGCAGACTCAAAGCCACCCCCAGCAGCTCTGCAGGAGAAGCTGGCATGCCAAGTTTCAAAGTATTAAAGCTGGCACAGTGGGGATTCTCAGAACACCTGATGCACACATTCTGAGAAGAGGCTATTTTAAGCCCTGGTTCACCTAAGCCGTGGGGGGGGGCGGGCTTTATCTTCTTGGCATCGGCTCCAAGCAACCATGATCCTGTTTCACCCCTTAAGCTGTTTGTACTTAACACCAAGGGGGGAAAAGTTTCACTCCTCCTGGGAAAAGGAAACCTCTACAATTAAGCAAGAAAGCATCGGGCAGAGTTACTTTCACCGTGGGAAAAAAAAAAGTTCACCACAAGGTGAGCAGCTGGTGAGCAGTTGAAACCGTGAGCAGATGGTGCAAAGATCACACAGTTCTGACACTCAGGGCCCTTTTTTGGTTAATGGACACATATGATGCAGAGGCTAGCCAATGCCTATTTTTAAAAAAAGCTTAAAGAGCAGGTGCAGGTTAGCCTTTCCTAAAAGATGAGGAATTGAGACTTCAAGTCCCAGAAGCCCCAGTCAGCACACCCAAGAACGATCGGCGCATTCTGAAGTAGGAACTGTGGTTCAAAACAACCAGCAGGCTAAAGGTCTTCTCCCTCTTGCTCTAACTCAGTGGTCCCCAAATGGTCTTGGAATAAAACTCCCAGAAGCCTTCGCCACTAGTTGTGCTGGCCAGGTGTTTTGGGAGTTGTAGTCCAAGAACGTCTATGGACCCAAGGTTGGGAAGCAGTGCTCTATCCTGCTCATGCAATTTTGCAATCCTTCCTTTCTTCCGGGGAGATCAGAGCAGCCCCTGCTCCCTTTATATGGTCACAAAGATCCTGTGAAATAGCACAGGCTGGCAGAAAGTGATAGGCTTTATACCATTCTGCGTGCTTCATACGGTAGCTGCTGGAGGATCTGAATGCCCACCTTCCCAGTCCTCATTCAATATTCAAATCTATGTAAGAATGAATGCTTAACCAAATGAATACAGTGATGGACTTACGAGGGCTCATGCCACACCCGTCATCCAAAAAGCACAACATGAATCCTCCTTGCACATTCTCTTTATTAACTGCAAAATAAAAAAAAGACGGAAAAGTCTTAGTACACAGATCTTACTGCATGCTTGAAATTCACATGTGACAGTAGCAACAGAGCTTTGAAGTAATGCTAGATTTAGAAGAGGTGTGTCAGTATCTGCTAGCATAAGCAGGCCAAAAACCAAAGAAACATACAAGATAAAGAATCTATATCTATATCTATATCTATATCTATATCTATATCTATATCTATATCTATATCTATATCTGTATCTATCTATCTATACATATACATACACATGTATGTATGTGTGTGTGTGTGTGTGTGTGGATAGATGGATAGATGGATGGATAGACGGATAGACGGATAGACGGACGGACGGACGGACGGAGAGAGAGAGAGAGAGAGAGAGAGAGAGAGAGAGAGAGAGAAGGAAAAAAACCAGAATTTTTAACATGCATTACCAAAACTGGCCACTAGAGGGAATGGTAGACCATGTGTTCTTCACTAACAAACTGATACCGAAGTTATAAAAACCAGACACTTCTAATTAATCTCTTTCGACAATAACTACTGTATCATGCTCATGGCTGTAACATAATGGCTAAAATACTGTTGCATAGTTATGTAAACAGTGTAATGTTAGTAAGCGAATTTATGTGTTAAGAACTTTCCATAGACATTGGAAAAAATCCTTTTGGTGCAGTTCCAGTGGCACAAATGGGATCAGGGCACCGGAAATAACTAATCTACATTACATTAAAGTTTCCTGTCTCCCTGTTTCAGCTTCCCAAGACTCCCCATGGCTCTCTTTTGCCCCAGGGAAGACTTTCAGAATCTTCAGTAATCCTGGCAGTGCTGAACCACCACCAACCTTTAACTAATAAAGACTCCCCTTCCCTATCCTGAGGCTTCCAGAGGCTTCTCCAAGGCAAGAGGGAGCCCAAAAAGCTGAAATGGGGGTGAGAACAGGAAGCTTTGAATTAATTTAAAGTACCATCCAGTTTATGCCAGAAGAACAGCATATTATAGTCTTTCATAATCTACAACAAGATATGGACTATATGTGTTAACCACCTCTATGAATGAATTTAGCATGTCTTATGAATGATTATGGAAGGCTTCCCACTGGATATGTATTATCAATATAGGAGTTGTGTACATTATAAATATATGTGTATGTATATTTGAAAAAAATCATTTTCCCTGTGGCTTTGGATATTTCAAATTATGTGGTTTTGATCTTGTAAACTTTCATATGGTTTCAATATAGATAGATTATAAAACTACATAGGTACATACTTGTAGGATATTGTGTTTATTAAGTTAACATGGATTTTGTTTATATTTTTAGGCTTTCAGTGTTCCTCTTGTTTTTGAGGAAAAACAGCACCAACAGGATTTTACCTGCAACTCAGTGAGCAATGGATAGTGCCTACATAGTTTTCTTTAAACTACAGCAATTTGCATCTAAAAGTTACATCATTTGTGTAACTGCAACAGGATTTGAGCCAATGAGGGATAACTTTCCTCCTCTTCAAGTGCACTGTAACTTAGCTTAGTCAATTTCAAGCTACCTTTTTGGCAAAGGGGTATATGTGGCAGCGCTGCTAAATTGTTTTTTGTACCACAGGCTAGCATTTTATAGCATTCTGATTTTTTTTTTAAAAAAACATACATTTACTTCTGAATAATGATGAACAAAGAATTTGCTTTAAAATGGTATCCTTAACAGCAACGAACAACATTTGGAGTACTGCAATGTTAAATGACTGAGCGGAAAGACATGAGCAGAACTGTAGCAGCAGACCCTCACAGAGCATATGGTAGACCGGAAGTTGTGGTGGGCCCTCCACATATAAATACAATTCTTTGTCCTTAAAACACAAGTTCACAATCTTCCAGAAAAAAAAAACGTACCACTGAACAGGATATGAAAACTTGGGAGAAACCCAAGATTGGATAGATGACAAGAAATCAAAATAAAGGTGCAGGGCTTTGGAATTTGGCTTGGAATTGGAATTGTGGAAAGGAAATGGAAAATCGGGGAGGGAGACGGGAAGATGGAATGGACTCTCCTGGAAGTGGGCAAACCAGAATGGCTAAAACCATGAACAAGAGCAAGCAACAGGATGGCCTACCAAATTACAAAATGTAGTATGTTTTGTAAACTTGGACATAGTTACAGTTAGGAGGAGGATTTCTATGAAATCTCATATTTTTTTTCCTGCAGTCTATGTTTGAGCATATGGGTGGGTTTGAACATGTTTACAAGTAACCTGGTGAGAAAGGCCAGATTACTCATAAAAATATTTGAACTTGCTTATGGGTTCAAGTGTAGGTTGCAGAGAAAACGTGAAATGTCATAGAAATCCTCCCTCTAGTTACAATATATTGCTGCCACAGGCGCAAGGAGAAAGTCTGGTTTTCTTAGGCAGACTTACAATGTTTCAGATCAGTGGTCCTCCTAGCCCAGTATTATCAACTCTGACTGGCAGCAGCTGCCCAGGTTATCCAGCAGGTTTCTCTTTTTTGCTCTACCCAGTATTCCCAGGTAGTCTACCATTCAGTACCACTCGGCCCTTAGCCTCCTTAGCTGCTAAAATCAGACAAGACTGATGCATTCAAAGTAGTATGATGGTATGGAAGTCAAAAGTGTTCTGGGCAAATGCAATTGTCTTTCTCTCTGTAGCAAGGATATCCAGGTTTGCAATGCAAAGTTGCAATTGTAGGCATGCTTACTAGGAGTAAAAAAAGCTTCATGAATCTCAGGCCTTTTTCACAGGTAAATTGACATAGGATCAGGCTGCAAAGACAGCTGCTCAGCAAGAGAGCCAAAGAACACCAGGCAATTATGTAACATGCATCAGCCAATTACTGAAGCCAATGAGCACTAAAGGATTTGTATACTTTGCACGCACGGAACTGGGCTAGACCTGAGAGAGACAGATTTCTTTTAATAGGGATTCTGCTACAGAATAAATACTTTTAGGTACGCTGGTAGGCTCACCATGTTAAAACAATTGTGACTTTTATTCCAGTGTATTCCTTATAGGCTATCAAAAAGGTCAAAACCTATTTTTGTCACAGCCATTTAATCTCCCATACATCGTATTTGCACAGGGGAACAAATATGTCATTTCTTCTCAAAATAAACAAGCGAGCAAGCAACCAAAAAAAGAGAAAGGATGCTTTCAGAACACTCATTTAGACAGAACTCACCAGTAAATATGTCCAGTCTCGTAGCACCTGCATCACTGAAAATATTGTTTAAAAGTTTTTTTAAAACACACACACACAAACCACTAAAAAAGTTGTGAAAGAAGATAAATATAAAAACAAATTAACTGCAACTATCATACAAGTCAGAAGATTCTATGTGAGCCAAGAATTCAAAATACCATATGCATAAATTCAACTGGCTCAATCAGTGTCAACTCATTTTACTGGAATACTAAGAGCTTTTAAGGCAATGACCACATATGAATATATATCATAACATATAAATAATAAACTTTTAAAATTATTTAAAAACTCTTTTTAAAAACCCAGAGGAGACTGTACAATAATATTTTACAAATTTTAACACTGGAAATACAGATTTTACATAAAAACAAATTATTCAAAGAAAAGTGGATAAGCAACAATTATTTGCCAAGTTACATTTGTAGCCTGTTTTCCCTATGGGAACCTGCCAACCTATCGGTTCAAAAGCATGCAAATGCAAGTAGATAAATAGGGACCACCTCGGTGGGAAGGTAACGGTGTTCTGTGTCTAAGTCGCACTGGCCATGTGACCACGGAAGATTGTCTTCGGACAAAAACGCTGGCTCTATGGCTTGGAAACGGGGATGAGCACCGACCCCTAGAGTCGAACACGACTGGACAAAAACTGTCAAGGGGAACCCTATGGGGAGCTCAAGGCGAAGGGGGTGGCTCTTTTCCTCCTCCTACTTTTTCCTCAGGACAACTACTCTGTGAGGCAATTCAGACTGAGAGTGACCAGCCTAACAACAGTGCATTTCAAGGCTCAGTGAGGACCACAGTCTCTCCAAAATCCCAATTCAACAGCATTTCAACAAGAGTTCTAATCAACATAACACATCTCAGGGACTTCAAGACAGAATTCCTGCGGGTCAGCAGAAAGGCCAACTAAGAATTAGGGTTATAGCTTGTTCTTGGTTATTTGCTGACAACAAACATTTGCTTTTGCTTTGCTCTCTAGCAAACAGTGAGAAATATTGCAGTAAGTTAGAACTGTATTGAAAGCATGCCATTATTTATTATGTCTCCCTTCTCAAGGGCAATGAGTTCAGTGGAGCTGACCAATCCCAGAACAGCTCATCCAGAGACTCTCAGGAGGTGACTATATGGCCATTTGCCCCACTGCCTGGTCTGATCCTTTTGCCAGTGACCAGATAATGTAAGCGCCAGAACAACCCACCCCATCCGGCGTATTCCTACCTGCACCTTTCTGTCTCCCCGTCAGGGCTTGTTTTTTAGGTGCACATGGGATCACTGTTTTAGTTTGTTTCCAGCTTGTGTAACCACTAGGACTGAACCAAAGCAGAGCTTGCTGCTCTAAATGTCCCATCTAGTTCCATTTTCCACATATCTTTAAGCTTAGTCACTTCATCTACTTTCCCAATATCATTAAGCAGCTAAGCTTAACAATAGTGGGAAATTGAAAGCACTGCACCTTTTAGGGAAAAAATTAAAAATTTAAAGCTTCCTCCTGGAAGGAGGAAGAGGCAGTAGTGTGCTTGTTTGTTTTTTTGTTTTCTCTGTTTTTGTTCTTTGCTTTAGGGAGGCGGGCCAAATAAGTTTGCTTGAGGTGTATATGCTACGTGGATGCAAGGATCACACCAAATTGCATAACAGACCTCTATATAACCTTAAGCAACCCTACTACTTAGCTCCAATTGAGCCAAGCCCTCACATACCCTTATAACAAGAAGAGGAAGCTCACTTTAAAAAGTGTGTTTCTTATATACCACCCCATAGTGCTTAAAACACTCTCTAGGTGGTTTACAATTTAATTATGCAGGCTACACATTGCCCAAGCTGGGTAACTTAGTTTATTGCTCTCAGAGGAATTGTAGGCTGAGTCAACCACAAGTCGGCTACATGGGATTGATCCTGGGCAGTGAACAGAGTTTTGGCTGCAGTATTGCAGTTTAACCACTGCTCCATGAAGCTCCTTTTAGAGGCCACTTAGGTAGGGCCATTTCCAGGTGGGGAGATAGGAAGCATCCTGCTCACTTTCTGAATTTGGATCCCCCCTTCAAGGAAAAAAACAATGATTTTTATGAGCAGCTGGGTGCATGAACATCTGGTCCCTACTTCAGCTCTCAGGCCAAAGTAGTTTGCCACCATCACATGACAGCATTTTCCACTGTTTAGTTGTCCTGAACTGGCTGGTGCCCTCAACGTGTGGGACTACATTCCCCATCTTCCCGGCCATAAGGGAATATTTACAAGGCATCAGCCAAGTGGGGGAGCGGGTACAGCACAGAATAGTTTTGCTTGATTCTACCAACAAACCAAAGCTATGCTGTGGAAGAAAACTGTGTGGCATCTTCAATAGATATTTGAACAACCCAGGACTGACTTCTTGAATACTGTTTTGTAAACTGGAACAGTTTTTGATAGAACAGAGAGAATGGCAGCTGCCACAGAGCATTTACCAGCCACAAGTGCTTCAACCTGAATGGAATTTCACTCTGACAAAGTGTAATATTTACCGGGAATTGTCAATCAGTTCAGCAACTGCTCCAAAGAGAAAGTCATGTGTTGTGCTGGGGGAAAAAACATTAGGACACCTTTATTAAAAATAAAAGAAAACTGAAACAGCAACAAACTAAATACTAAAGTATCAGCTGGTGAGAAACAGCCTGTTTTTAAAATATAACAACAAACAGAAAAGGAGGGGAGTGGCTCCAGCCAGCTGTACCTGGCAGCTGGATTCTGGGAATGGAAGTCGAAAAGAGAAGTAGGGCAGGGCTCTGCTTTTGTCATGCAACTGGGTTGTGTGTGTGTGTCTGTGTAGAAAGCGATGGCAATGACTGTTCTTCTGTGGCATTTAGGTTAAATGCCCCATGCAGCTCCATCCTCTGCGTGTCTCCCGGTAAGCAAGTCCGATGGAGTGCAATTGGGGGGAGAGGGACTTCTTGTGAGAGGAGTCTCCCCCAACGGAAGTTTTAATCCTGCACACACGTCTTACTGAACTGCACTTTCTTCTGAGTAGATACCTATAAGATTGCCTTGGTAATCGGCCGTAATGGAGAGCGCCCCCCCCCCCAAAGCACCATAAAGGGCTTAGAACCTGCACAGTTTTATCCATCCTGTTTGCTCAGGAGGCAGTTCCACTAACTTCAAAGGGACTGGATGTCTGCTAAGCGTTAATAAGACCTGACACTGACACACACACACACACACACACGCACACGCACACGGACACGCATACATAACTTCGGGAGAAGCAACCACCTATTTAGTTCCAATCCACATTTTCCGCCCAAGGTGTTAAGGGAAGACATTATTTTCCGCCCAGCGCTTCCTCGCTTTGAGATGAAAAAATGATGCGCGGATCGCTTCGAGGGGACCACTTGGAATGAAAAATCGGGACTATTTTTTTGGGTCCCCCCCCCTTTCCGGAACAAGAATACCGCCGGATCGACACAGGGGACCTGGGAGAGGCGAGGAAGCAGGAGGAGCCCCCACCCGAGCCCTCCCTTGCACAGTTGCCCGAGGACTGGGAACAGCGGGTAAAACGGGGGGAGCGGACCCTCCGTCTCCCCCAAACGTGGCTCCACTCACGAGTTGGCATGCAGGTATTCCAGCCTCAACTTCGCCCTACACAGAGCCCCATAGCGAGTCGCTTCGGACATCGCCACGCCCCAACCGTTCCCCCGGCGACTCCGCACCACTCTAGAAGCCAGGGGGAAAAAGCTCAGTCCCCTAGCGCCCCCTGGTGGCGAATGGGAGAACAAGCCCGTCTTTCGAGGGCGGTGGCCCAATCGCGGTGGCCGAACCGGGCAACAGGTGGCGCTATTTTGCCGAAGGGAGATACCGCTCGGTGCGGAAATAGAAGTACAGTACCTGAAACCGATTCATTTAGGGATGTTGTCAGGATTGCTCTTTTTCAGCAGTAGCCAGAGGTCGTTCCCGTGAATCTGATTTCTTGTTTTGTGAGCACTGGGAGGATGGAGAAGACAGGCAATACACCACCAACCTCTCAGGATCTTAAATCTTTTTGCACCTGGAGTGGGACATCAGAATGACACATGGACACAGATGGACAGACACACAGATATCATCATAGAGAAGCAAATCTTGATAAAAGGGAGGTTGGAAGTATAGCAACCTGCATAGTATGCCTTTAGGAGGTTTGGATGGGGGGGCTTTGGGTGAATGTCAAACACATAGTAGCAACCAATTGTATTCTTACCTACTTTACCCGTATTCTCAGTCAAGGTGTTAGTTATGGAGTCAGAAGTCTGAGGAAAGTGTTTATTTAACCTGACAGTTATTCAAAAGAATGGAATTAACCAATTAAGGTCCTAAAGTATGTAACAAATGAATATGTTTGTCTGCTATTGTGACATATATGAAGATTTTGTGAGTAAAAGAGAAACAGTTTTCACTCTATCTCAGCTTCAGAGTATCTGACTGAGTCAACTGAGATTATTGCCAATTGAGGTACTGTAAATCTAACTATATTTGAGGGAGACTTGCAAACTATAATAATCTGCTGTGTAGGTCCATGACTATATTTTTCTCTGCTGTGCAACCGGAACTTTCAAGTCACCAATTCCCACTCTACTAGGGAAGCAGGGAAACTCCACTCCTTTCTCAACTCTGCTGACCATGCATCATTGTCTGTCCACTTTCAGGGCGGCCCTGAAATCAATCAGCCAGCAACTGAAACAAGAAATTGTGCATCTCTGGATTCTTCTAATCAAAGTGATGACTTCATATTATGGTTGGCCTGAAACTGATCTACATATTAAGAGGCTAACAAGTCATTCATTCAAACAACATGATGCACTCTTCAAAATCTATGGGAATATGTTATGCTATAATTATAAGGATACTTGTTTGAGAAGATTCTATAGGTTGCTGCTAAAGGAGATGGGAAATGTTTTTCTCTTTCTTTCTTTCTTTCTTTCTTTCTTTCTTTCTTTCTTTCTTTCTTTCTTTCTTTCTTTCTTTCTTTCTTTCTTTCTTTCTTTCTTTCTTTCTTTTCTTTTTTGAAGAAACTCCCAGACAGCTCTGGGAGTTATCCCCCTCCCAAAAAAAGAGAGTCCTTTGTTCAGTTCTTGTTGTCTCCAGCCAGGTGTGGAGTAATTGTACTGAAGAACCTTGAGAATAAACCTCTTGTTATTTATTTATTTAATTCATATACTCCCCACCTGGATGATTTACTACAGAATAAAACAATAATCTACAATTGTAATAAAACAATTATATTGACATAAACTTCAAAATAACATAAAGAGACATATACTAAACATTATAACTTAAAACATCATACATAACACATTTAGTAAAAACATTTGAGATGGTGGTGGTCAAATAACCTAGCAACTCATAAGTTCCCTGTGTTTCTGCGTTCTGAAAGGCCTGTCTAAATAGCCAAGTTTTTAAAAGTATATTAAAAGTTCCCAATATTTAATAAATTTAATATACTTAATTTATATTCCTTCTTTCTCCCAGAAATGACCCAAATTGGCTTACAAAGAATTTTAAAACAGAGCAATTAAAAATACAGCAAATTAGCTAGACGGACCAGTAGTGTGCCCTGATATAAAATACCTTTTTATGTTGCCACAAAAAATTCTATAGACATGAAAAACGTTTTAAGTTCTCCAGATGTAGGGTGTGACATAATGTTTAAGGAAATTTTAAATATTGCTATAAAAATAAAGATATTTAGGAATAGGGTATCAATAGTCTTGAACAATTGTGTTTTAACAGATTGACTTAAATGTTATGTTTTGATCAAAATTTCCCTTTTAATTCTATTTTTTAGTATTGTTGGCTGTCTTGAACACCTTTTTAATGAAAAAAGGAGAGTCTAAATTCCTTAATACAATCAATACTGGACACGTTTGCCTATTTACTTGTCCCTGACATGTGTCTGAAGTCATAGGGATTCTGCAGAGTAAGGAAACATCTCTGCTCCTTCTTACATCCTCTCCTTTAGAAATGAGAACATGTTTGATATTTTGCATAATCAAAAGTTGAGTAGATTAAGGCTCTCTTCACCTAGGAAGAAAACATGTCTGGAATATAGCAAAAAGTCCATGTCAACAGTCCAAAGGGTACCAAGAGGTTGATGAAACATGTCCATGCAATTGTGGATTTTGCCCTCTCTGTGTGCATCTGGCTATAGTAAATGATTTACAAAGCAAAGGGCATTGAAAGTACAAAAAGCATCCTCGTTTTGCTGCTTTACTGTGCAACATTTTCTATTCGGGAAACACACTATGACCACGACAATGCTTCAATTCACTTTATGTATCCTGTTGCTGACAGGTAAGATTTTAGAATTATGGTAAAGCAAATGCCTAAGTCAAGAATTGAACACACAGTGAGGTATTCTGAAGTTCTGGCAGATCCCATTTCAAAGTGATATTGTAAAGTGTTCTAGATTATAATTCAAGAGAGGCACAGAGAGTTCCTTGTGGTAAGTAAGGCATTCTCTTTTCACAGGTCTTACTTCGGTAGTGAGATTGCAGAAACCTGGTCAAGTTTTCTTTATGCTGTTTGGTTTATGACGCCCACACTTGTTTCGATTTACAGCCCTCCATCCTGCCCTCTTTTAGAGCTGTCCCATTCCTTTTTGGTACAGCACTGGGGCTATAGTTTTTTTTTTTGGGGGGGGATAATTTGGAACGTTCCTAATTAGCCCATTCTGTAGCCTGTGTGGATGGTTAGTCCACACAAAAATAATGCTGTGGTCAGTGTTATCTGAGGTGACAACCCTGTGACATATTTGATGGCATTGAAAGGGACAACTAAGAATCCCCCCTCCTCTATTTTCATCTGCTGTACCATTTTAAATTTTTAAATATATCTTCCTATTGATGCAGCACTATAAATGAGATACATTGGCAGTATTACGCTAGGTAGATGAATTGCTGTTTTGCTGTTTCACTTTATTTAACAAACAAAGGAAAGTCACTGCAGCCCATTAAATGATGGCCATGAGAAAAAGTGGAGAAAGGGGTGGGAAGGAGAGTGTCATTAACCTGAAAGGGGACAAATCAGGGTGTTCCTAAGACCTGTTTGATCCCTTCTCACAGGAGAAAAATGTTGATCAAAATAGATTGTGTTAAGAACCTTTTAAGCGTCAATCAGACTGCTCCAGCCCCCGTCTGGTCATGCCCTTATAGAAGCTCATATTTAACACATCTAAAATGATTGATTATAGTGCAACAACCCAGACAGATAGGGATAAATGTAGATGCATATGATGTGGAAAAATTTCCTTGGAAAAATATAGCATCAAAAAAACATACCTGCTCACCCTGAGGAACTCAGAGGTTAGCCCTTCTGGCCAGCTCCTAACTTGTTTTACAAGGGGACTTAACTGTTATCTCCATTAGAGAGGGGCACTTCATCCTTTGCATCTAGAATGCAGTGCAGCACTACAGGTGGTGCAAGTTCCCATCCCTGTCCCCCTGAGCCGGCCAGGTCACTAACCAGGCTCCATTCATCGCTGGGGTCCTTCTTCAGCAGTGGTGCACTAATCTGGGCAGGAGGCTGGCCAGTCTGGCCCCACCTCCCCAGGCAGCTGACCACCCAGGCCAAGAGAGTCCCACCTCCTCGCTGAAATGGTCAGTTGCCTGGGAAGGCGGGGTTGGGCCGGCTGGGTTGGTGCACCACTGCCAAAGAAGTATCCCAGCGATGCTCAGAGCCTGGTTCATGGTCTGGCCGGCCGAATGGGAATCCACACCACCTGTGGTGCTGTGCTTCATTCAAGATACAAAGGCTGAAGCACCCCTCTCTAAGCTGCACCTCATGAAATCTCCCATTCTCCCCTGCTCTACTGAGATACAACTTCACAAGGCCGTTTTGTCAAGAAGTCATTTAACTTTCATTTGGTAAGTAGATTTTACAACCCAACACTCTCAGTGCGATGTCTTAAAACACCTTGGCTTCTCGAAGATTTTAAACATAGTTCATAGTCCAACCTTGTAATACCATGTAAAAGGCATATGAAGGAATAGAGCAGTTTGTTAAACATGTTAGGATTTGGGTTTTTTTCTCTACATCTCTTAATAAATTTAATATACTTAATTTATATTAATTTTAGAATTAATATATTAATAACATTAATTTTAGAATTAATGTTACTGTAGCTGTTTTCTGTGCCTTTCTCATTTCAGGAGCCTTGGGACTACCATTTTTCTCAGAGGAAGAAGCCAACCAATTTTTGAGTCTTAAGAGACAAACACCTTATTTAGACTACTTGCAACTAACTAGCAGCCAGAGTACTCTGGGTGAACAGGTATCCATTCTTTTCTAAGATATTGTAGTGACGTTTGGAGAGAACTATTATGATCTGAAAGGTAGAAAGTTTACTTTTCCTAAATATTTTGGCTGACTTTGAGTCAGCCTGAATTTCCCAGTATAATATGATAATACTTCTTTCAGCAATTTACAAAGAAGAAGCCATATCAGTTTGTCTTCATACATTGGCAACAGAAAAAGGGTGGGGGGCGGGGGAGAGAAGAATGGAACAGAACAAAATGTTGTAGAACTTTAAAGACTAACACATTTATTTCATTGTGACCTTTCATGGATCAAAGTCCACTCCCTCATAAACTGTTAGCCTTTAAAGTGCTACAGTATTTTTAGTATTTGCCCTACTTTTCTCCTTCATGGATTGCTGCCTTGTCCCTACTTTTCTTTTGTCAACAAGTACCCCTTTCAGGGACTTTCACAAATGTAAAAAAGGTGGCTACTCGTGTGTGTGTGTGTGTGTGTGTGTGTGTGTGTGTGTGTGTGTGTGAGAGAGAGAGAGAGAGAGAGAGAGAGCCCAATGTTTACATATAGGGAAGTCTTCTTATATTCAGAGAAGGTGCCACCAGCAAGCTAGAGTGCAGTGACGTTGCCTTATTTGAATTAGATCCCAGAATCTGTCCATGATGGCTGAGGACTGTAGTCCAAATATAGCTGTTAAAATCTTTCATGTCCCTTTCTCATATGTTCCCAGTACCATGTTCTAAACAGCTGAAAGGAGCTGGGAATTCACCTAAAACTGTTATTCTGAGGATTAATTAAATAAGCACCGTGAAGCATTTTACATTATTGACTCAGCTATCAGACTAATCACTGTGGCTGTGTACTCTTAATCATAACATCCTTATATACCAATAGAGGAGCTATTGGGGGCCTCTTAGGAACAGTTGAGCTTCCTAATGTGGTCAAGCCTGAATGTTCCCATGGAGATAACTAGTAAAACCTATATTTGCCTTATTTTAAATGGTCAGTTGAGAAGTTCACCATGGATTTAACTGTAGACAGTTTTGTAACTAGCCCTTTAGCATGCAGGAAAGAAGGAAAGAACATAATTTTTTTATAAATTTTGCAGGACATCAGTAATAGTCCATTAAACATGGACTATTTTTAAGTTCACTTTCCCTGCCCTTCTGCTGAGGAAGTTATTATTTTATCAGTATCCTGAAGTGGCTTACTTATTAAGTCACTTCACAATACTGGCAAATTCAATTTCAAAAGCTTGCTTTGGATTGGCTCCAGCGATCACAAGCACTGGAACTGATCCAAAACAGAGCAATCCTACCTGCACCAAGAAAGTAGAAGTAGAAAAGTATGGATAGGATTGCTCTGGAGGTGGGCTGGTTTGCTCTAACAAAGACATCCTATAGTCTGGTAGCAAACCAAAAAGCAGGCTAAACGCATTTGTAATCAGTCTCATAATCTTCTATTAAACTTGAAGTCTGTGTCATATGTAAATGTTGTAGAGAACATGTTTCTGGCTAAACAAATGCGTATTCTGCCCTAAACAGGTTAGTGAAGCCTGGACTACACTGAAAAACACAGGACAATATTACATGGATCTGGGATATTCTGTATTCAGTACCGACACAGCCAGGTAATTCATATGGGAATAAAAATAGGTGATGGCTGGTTTGGCTGTAGTACATGTGAAAAGGATCAAGGGTTCTTAACAGACAACAAGTTAAACATGAGTCAAGAGTGATATAGCAGCAAAATAAAAATTAAACACAGTACTTGGTTGTATCAACAAAAGTATGGTGGTCAGATCAGGAGAAACAATTGTACCACTCCCAATGTTAAACAACTCTTAGTGTCAAGAAGTTGTTGCTCATGTTTATCTGCTATCATGCAATTGGAATCTACTGATTTGGGTTCCTATGTTCTAGAGGAGTAGCAAATGGGCATTCTCCATCTTGTGCATGACAGCCTTTTGAAAATAGCTATCATAGGACCTCTAGCTCTTCTCTTTTTCTGGATAAACATACCCAAGAGATCCTCAAACATTCTTCATAGATCTTGTTTTCTACAGCCTTTGCTTTCCTGGATAGAACACTCAGCAGGTAGGTAGGGCTGTCTTTGGAAGGGACCTTTGGTTTATGCTGGATACAATCACCCCAGCCTAGAAAAGTCCATCCCAGTCACTCAAACTATAGACAGTAGGCGAAGTTGCAAATAAAACTCCAACATCCCTTCTCAAACATGAATGCAGCCACCCTCTTGAAGTCCCATCTTGTTATACATGTTCTGGAAGCAGTCTCTTGAAGAAGCTTGGTGTGATGTCTGCTGTCATCTCTCTAGTGTGACAGTAGACCATCTCGATGATGCCTTTCTCAGTCAAATCACAGACCAAGTAGTATCTCAGACTGATGTGTTTGGTGCATGCATTCATTTTTTCCCCCTGGGATGCAGATCTGGTTGTCTTCCATCATCTGGATTGGCATCTCTTCCTTTATCCCAAAGTCATTCAGCATCTTCTCCAGCCATAGCAGTTCTTTGCATGCTTCAGCCGCAGCAATCAGTTCAGACTGTGGAAGATACCATGTTTATGACTAACCCATGAAATCAGACCATCACCATACATGGCCAGGAAATCACTAGTGGACTTTTGATCTGTTCTATCTTCTGGCCAGTCTGTATTAGCATACCCTATAGGTTTTGGGTTTTCACTAGCTGGCAGTCTAAATTAAAGTCCATTCATTTATAGCTGTCCAATCATTCTGTGTTGACAAAACTAAGCTTTCTAATTAGTAGTCCTACAGAAGTAGCTGTGTCTGGCCTGGTAGTTCTTGCGAGATACAAAAGCTTACCTATAGCTGTTCTGTATTTGGTAAAGATTTACTTTCATCCTTGATTTTAAGAAAATCTATTTACATGGGTGTTGTAATACTGTGGGCATCTTGGAGGCCTAATGTCTCCAGAAGCTCAACTACCTTTTGTTTCTGCTTTAATAACTATGACCACTCTGCTTCCCTTTCAATTTTCATGGAATATGTTGCATTCCCTAACTCTTTGATTTCTACCTCTTTATTAAGATGCTTTACAATCCTTTTGTCCTCCCAATTCCTTCTGAGTAGCTACAGTTTAAGTCATCTACAAGAAAAATAAAACAAAATGTCCATTTCTGCTTCTGTTAACACCTTGCTCAAAGCTTTGTTGCAGTGACGTTTCTTTCAGTTTCTCATTTTAGGCCCAAGCAGTTTGCTTCAATCCGTCCAGGTCTTTTGTTAGTTTGCATACAAAAATGAGGATGTTTGTAGCTGGTAAATCCCAGTGGCTGCTCCGTATACAGCTCCTCTGTGATCTGTCCATGTAGAAATGCAGTCTTGATGTCTAGGTGCTTGGCTTGTATTTTTTCTGAAAGCTGCAGCATTCAGGAGCATTCTTATTGTACTGTACTTGACAACAGCAGCAAAGGTTTCATTGAAGTCTTCTCCATATTTCTGCAGGAACGCTTTTGCAAAAACTCTTGCCTTGTAGCACTTCACTTCTCAGACAAGGTGACTTGTTTGCACCTTGCCTCAGCTTGAATACGTACGTGCCTCTGATAGCTTTCTTGCCTGGTGGTAGCTTAGCCACTGTCCGTGTCTCATTCTTCTGCACTCTTCCTTTCTCCATCTGGCAGCTTCAGCTGCTGGCTTCTGCTCAGTCTCCTCCCAGATTACTGGCTCATTTATCTGATATGACCTTGCAAAGTAGAACAGGTGAGGAGCTGGTACACCTTTGTTGGGCCACAGTGAACATCTAATGGCTGTTTCTGGAGCATCTTGTGCCATAGATCTCTCTTCCAGTTCAACAGCTTTGACATCTCCAGTTGTATCCCATTCTCTTGATTTACTACTCTCTGTGTATCACCTTCCTGCTTCATATCTGGCTCACATTATGGAAGGACTGGCACAGTTTCATTTAGAAGAGGTCCAACATAGTGGTCTTCTATTCCTCTTTTGTCAGCTTGCTTTTGTTGATCAAAATTAACATGTCTTATGCCAACTTCACCTGCTTTGAGTTTATCTCTTTATATTCTTTACTTCCAGGATCATAGCCAAGCAAGATAGTCTGTTTGGTTCTAGAGTTCAGTATATGCCTTTTCTGAATTGATATAAAAACATATGCCAGGCTATCAGAAAATGATGGAGCGGAAACTGTTGTACTTTGGCCCATCATGAGAAAGCAAGATTTTCTAGAAAAGACAATAATGCTGGGAAAGGTTGAAGGCATCAGAAAAAGAGAAGGACCGAATATAAGATGGATTGACTCTCTAAAGGAAGACATAGGCTTGCATTTACAAGAGGTGAACAGGGCTGTTGAGGACAGCACATTCTGGAGATTGCTCATTCATACGGTCGCTGTGGGTTGGGGCGGTTTGCCAGCATGTAACAACAATAACATTAAACTTAAGACAATCGAAAATAAGATCCTGAGCTCTGTAACAATTTCATTTGACAAGGAAATCGCAAAACAAAGTATATTTTCATGTTATGCTTTTTGTCAACTTCTGTCAAAACAGTTATTTTGTTTATTTACAGGGATCATATTAATTCTTACATGGATATGTTGCAGCATCCCAGAGCACATTTGAAAAAGCAAAGAAGAAAACCTACAGAAATCGGACATTGATCCTTATTGTTCAGACTGCCCTTAAAGGCCAGCATTTATGGCAGCTTGATGCTTCCTGGAATATTGGGGCTTGGAGCAAACAGTGTGAAACCAAACAGCAGTCTTTATCCTGTTGACCTTCATTGACCTTCACTGTCAGTTT